ATTATTAAGCTTTTCGCAGCCTCCTAATCGATTATTTACTTCGCATTAATCGATTATTAAGCTTTTCGCAGCCCATTAATCGATTATGGACGCTGCATTAATCGATTATCATGCTGGACTTTTCATCCCAGCTTCTTTTCTTGGACCAACGGATATATTCCTTCAACCCCTATTTAAACACTCTTCCTTGGTCAGTTTTGAACATGAACAAGCACTCCTAAACTCCCCAATCTTGAGGTTATAATCCTCCATTCATTTCTTCCTCAAATTAATATATTTTTGAGAGAAAACTAAGTGTTTTCAAGAGAGTGTTCTTGTCATCCATAGAGCTTAATCTTTTCTCATTTCTACTCTAGTGAGAGTTATTGCTGAGAAGTTGAAGAAGATTGTTCTTCTTATTGTTCAAGGCTTATGTGATTTAAGTCTTGGTTGTGAAGTCTTGTAGAGAGCATATCTACGAGCGATTGTGTTGAGGCTTGTGGGATTCAAGTTCTCGAGTTGTAAACGGTTTGTTAAGTACCCGTAAGCTTAACGAAAGTAGTGGTAGCTTCGAGAGAGTCTCTCGGGGAACTGGACTAGCCACAAGGTGGTGAACCAGTATACATTGGTGTGTTCTTTGCCTTCTCTCTTTTATTTCCGCTGCACTAACGTTTATTTTATTTATCCTGCGAAAATCAGTAAACATTCTCAACAACTCTATTCAACCCCCCCTCTAGAGTTGCACGCCTTGTCTAACAGTGCTCATAGGTTCTGAGCTCATCAAGGAGACCTTGGACAGTGTAGTTTTCCAGGTTTCTTCCTTCTTCCATGGCTGTGGCTTTGGTGTACCACTCGGTTTGAAGTGATCTCAGTAACCTTACATTCTTTTCTTTGGGAGAAAGAACGTGGTTGAGTGAGGCAAGATCATTCAAGATTTTGTGGAATCTTTAATCCAAGCAGGACTTCTATCTTCTGCTTTCTCAGGTCCTCTGATCTCTCACATAGCTTCCCAAGACCTTGCCATATCTCCATGGCAGTCTTGAGATGCTTGATTTTGGAGAAGGTGATGGGATCAAGTGTCTTGAAGATGGCTGCTTTGGCGACGTTGTTCAGATTGTGCTTTTCACAATCTCTATCATCCCATTTTTCCTTGGGCTTTGGAATGTACTGGACTACATCTGGAGTTGCTGGATTCCTCTCAGGATTCTCCATTTAGATTTTCAAGGGTCCATCCTCAAGCACCATCCACATGCAGTCATGTAGAGCGTAGAGATGTGCTTCCATCATGATCTTCCAATCATCATAACCTAGAAGAGAAAACTTGGGCAAACCGTGATCCATATTGTTCACCATTATGATCGCTTCTCGTTAATCTAAACGTAGACAGTGAGAAGTTCACTCCGATACCAATTGGTGGTCCCAAAGTGTGAGATACAAAGTCTAGAGGGGGGGGGGGTGAATAGACTTTGTTACAAATTTAAAACCTTTTTCGTTTCATTTGAAAAAGTGAAAATGAGAGTTAATCTAGAGTTCTTGTAAACTTTAGATTGTGTGCGGAATTTTGGTGGGTAGAGTGAGCAGTAATCAATATGGATGGGTTAGTTTTCACAGTTAATGTAATTGCAAGTAAGAGTAAAGATAAAAGAGAGAGACACACAAACTTTAACGAGGTTCGAAGGTGGGGTAATCCTTCTACGTCCTCAGAATCCACTATGTAGTTGGTTGTTGAATAATGAACCAACAATTATACTTGTGTGAATTTCTCCACGGTATATCTTCGCAAGGCCGATATTGCTACTGCACTCGTGCTGGCTTTGTTGTTCCTTCGAAGGTCACGCTTCTTCAACAACTACAAGGTCCGAACAATAGGACTTGCAAGAAAGTTGACCTACCCCCTTTTAATCAATAAGTTTGATCAAAAGTAGAATCCTTCAACGTGGTGTGGTACTTGAGGCAAGGAAACCTTCAAGTGTTTACACTATAGTTCTTTGGAAGGAGGAGTAGTTTGATATTATTTTTAAACTTTTTCTTTACTTTGTAATAAGGTAATAAGGTATGATGTGTAGGATATATGATTGTAGGATGCACCTTTTTTCTAATTTGAAAAGTTTTACTCCCTCCGTCCTAATTCTTTCTTCCCAGTTTGACTTTTCCCCATTTTTAATTTTTGGCTTTGACTTCAAATTTTACCTCCTTAAAAAAGATTTTTTTTGCAATCATTCAAAATATAGAGTTAGAAGATAATTGGTGTAAATACATGAGGGTATTAATGTCATTTGCCATCTTTTTTTTCTAATGGGAAGGTAGTTTTAGGACGGAGAAAAATGGGAAGTGGGAAGATAATTTTAGGACAGAGGGAGTATGAGACGCCTTTCTTTGTATTTGAAAATTTTTATGGGATGGATGTAGTATAATTGTTTTCCAATATATAATGTTAATTACTTATACTCCGTATTAGGTTTCGCAAAAAACAACTTACCTAAGTAGTCAACATTGCATATGCATTTTTTTCAAAAAATATCTTCAATAATTCTAAAATTATTAAAGTCTTATTTAAATCTATGAAATTTGTTTTAAACATGTTAATGATTCTCGACAAATTTTATCGTGGACTTAAGGTGTACCATATACTTACATATGAGCAAAATAAGTATTTATTTATTACTAAAATAAGCATTTGTTTTTATAAATAAAAAAATTAAAAAAATATTTTTGTGTGTGTGAAGGTTCATAAAAATGATATGCACTCAAGGTGCGCTAAAGAAATACTCATGATTCTCCCCCCATTAAACATTATGATTAAGTATCCAGTTTGGATATTGTAATTTTCTTAGTTAAAAAAATGTCTAGAATCAAAATTTTAATTATTTCTAAAGTTATCAAATGTTAGGCATTAGAATAGACAATAAAAAGAAGATGAAAGTAAATTCAAATGACAGTAATAGTTAGAAGGGAGTAGTGAGGTAGAAGTCAAAATAAGTAATTTTGATACTTTTTTTATATTTTATGTTTATAATAGTTTTTCCATTTTTTAACCTTTTCAATTTGTTCTAACTTAAATGTGTTATTATTATTATTATTATTCAATGGAATAATTAATTTACATAAAAATAAATTAAACATATATTATCAATAGAAATAACTATAATGTTTTTTTAAATTGCACTCATTATAATTAATCAAAATACATTAGAAAAAAATTTAAAAATTACTCATCCTAATTATCATCTTAAATTTCTACTTTGTAATTATATTCAGTCATCGTATAAGGTATATATTAGGCATATTAATTAAAATTGGATCTTTCTATATTTTAATATAAACATGCCAAGTCATTAAAATTTTCCAAGGTGGCGGATGACTCATAAAAAATTGCCATGTAGACTTGCCACATGTCGATATTCTATGAACTCGAGTCTCAAATATTATATATAAAGAATAAAGAATAAAGAATTAAACTACTGGAATCCCTTATTTTTATTAATTACGGAGTACAACACAAAATAATTAATGAAAAATAAGGTATTAGACAAAGTTGAGTACATGAAACTTTTTTCAGATGAACGTTCAAGAAATGGATACGGTTTAGATTCTTTCTTTCCTTCAAGAATTGATTACATAATTGACAAATCAGATTTAGCATCCAGTGAGCAAGATGCTTATTACTCCGTATATAACACTATTAACAATTAACAATGAAACAACATCAACAATAATGATCAATTGATCATATGTAATACTCCGTAACAATAAACAAAAGACAGGGCAATTCAAATTATTGTTTCGCGTGGGAATTCTTCTCAAAAAATCTATATTCAGTCATGAATAATTATACTCCCTCCGTCCCCAATTTGATTACAAATTGCGGGTTACGGAGTAAAATTTCTTACTTTTTGAAATCATTTTATTTACAAATTGGTATATCAATAAGCTATAAAAATTACATATTAAAAAACTACATCAAAAGTTCTACAAAACAAGAGGTAACAAGAATATTTTATTTTATCAAATACTTGATGAAATTGCGTAAACAAACAAAAGTTATCGAGAGAAGAGAGAAAAAAATATTGTAATCTATTTAGAGACGGAAGGAGTATGTTGCAGTATTAAGAGTCATAGATCATAATGGTTTAATATTAATAAACCATTAATATTAAATAACATAATACTGATCGTGCAACAAAGATTACTTTCAACAAGAGCTCCAGTGTATCCGGGAATAGCACTTTGCTAATGGTTTATACTCTGGTAGTCTTTAGCCAAATTGGTTCAGGAAAGGAGTTCCTCACCACTGTGCTTATTGGATAATCTCTTTCAGTTCTGGAGTCCTATGTTTGGCCGACTATGCTTTCTTTGTTTTCACTGTATTTTCATTTTGCTTGGAGCTGGCAGACTCTTTATGCCTCACTGTATTTTCCATTTAGAATAGTTTACAGGTTTGTTTTTTCAATGACCATGCGTCTCCACGTCTCCCAGGAATTGGATTCATAGCCTGCACTTTGAGCTCCACTATTGAATGATTCATTGGTCTGCAGCAAGCTGTATTCATTATTATCCGCTGTAGGGAAGACATGACACATGGGTTAGGAGGCATGATTGTGTTCATAGGGACCTCTCTTTGCAGGATTGTTTTAAAGTTTTGTGCTTGGTTGCATTCTGTTTTAGCCTCTCTATTTGTAACCTTTTATTTTTGGCCCTTTTATGGGGCTGGGTCACCCCCTCTTGTACTTTTTCTCTCTTTTTCTAATAAAATATTTTCACTCTATATATATATATATATATAAGCTTAAATAATAATTTGAAAATATTTGATATAATAAATCTAATAAATTTTAATTGTATCTATTACCACCATATATTTTGAATAATTTAACTTATGATACTTCTTATACTAAATCTAAAAAGATTAATACATTTTCATCTTACACAAATTATATTTTATAAAATATAACTAAAAATCATATGTTTTAGATTTCGTGATATGTTAATTTGTTGATTTCTAGCTTAGTAATTTAAATACATTTTATACTATATTAGTTTATATGATTATTGATGTTGAAACATGGTTTATGGGTATATACATATATTCGAATACTCAAATATCACCCGAATCAAATACTCCTATTTATATTTGTATTTGTTTAATATTCGAATCAAAACTAATATTTAAATTTGAATTTGTATTTGAAGAATGAGAATTCGAATCATTATATTCGAATACAAGTAACGAAAGGAACTAAAAGTATGGTTTTATAATGCGGAATATAAATCGGTGGCGTTCAGCGTTTAGTGGCCATTGGCATGGCTCGCTACTGGCATTTGGGACGCCTCCCAGGCTCCAGTGCTAGCTTTATTCTGTTTAAAAACAATATTTGTTGATTAGTTTTAACATTTTAGATATTTTTTTAAAAGTATAATTTTTTTTGGAAGTAATAATGTTCGTGGGTTGTTTGTATGAGGAGAGGCAATATGAAGAAAAAAATTTCTACTTATATCTATGCGTATAACGTATTCGTCTAGTTTGTTTTTTTCGAGTCAAATCGAATGAATTTTGAACCTCGATTAAATAAAACAGGTAATATATTTTAGTATAAAAATTATTTCAACAAATTCATCTAGTTGAAAGTATTTAAATTTTAATTTATTGTATTGATATGCAACACAAATTAAGAATAATTGATAATTAAAATTTGTTCACTAAGACTAAAAAAAGTCAAATTAGATCAATAATTAAGACAAAAAGAGTATATATTTATATTCATATTTTAAAAGTTTAGTCTACTAACTTTTGAAAATCTAGTCTGCTTTGAACATGCGCAAATTATATTGTACAACTGGCTGTACGGAAAGAACTGTACAGATGAAGAAAATAAGCGGCAAGAGCGAAGAACCGAAGAAGTTTGCGAAGGAGGATGTACCATATACCTTCTCTTAAACACGTGTTATCTGGCAAAAAAAATATTCATATACGGAGCATTTAAAAAAAAAAGATACTCCATAAGATAGTGGTGAGAAAAAGAAGAAAAGATAAAGAAATAGAGAATACTCCGTAAATGCTTTCTCATCCACTTGGTGAGAAATTTGTTCCCACATGATTTCGTTTTTTATTTTCTCCACTTCCTCCATTTTTTCACAAATCCAAAGAAGTAAAATTACATTCATTTTTAGATTTTAATCTCCCGCCTAAAAATTAATTTCTCGCTAGATCAAACTTTATTCACTTTGTTGACTTATTTTCATTATCAATTTGATAAATTAATATAGTCATGTCACATTTAGTTTTATAGATTTTTTATGTAATTTTAAAAAAAAATTTAATTTTTTAAATTCATACTATTATTCATATAAATAATTTGAAAATAAGTTTAGTCAAATATCATTACCACTATGTTTGGTTCAAGGAATTTGAGAGAGAAAAGAAAAGGAAAATAATTTTCTTGTTTGGTTAGAGAGAAAAAGAAAAGAAAAGTGGAAGGCAAAATGTACTCCTCCCATTTTGGTGAGAAAAATGAGGGAAAATTATTTTCTTTTTTTTTTCCTGCCAAATTCCTTGTACATGCAACGGGGAAATACTTTTTGGACGGAAGAAGTGCTACTCAACATTTTCCTTTTTCAATACGGAGTATCTTTTTACCATCTAAATGATGCGGTTTAGGGAATACGGAGTAATAATTACGGGAGTTATTCTTCAAAATAGAAAATTAATTTCGTGGATGGGTGAAACTTGAAAGTCTGTTTTACGGGAGTTGATATATCGGGAGTATTTTTTCTTTGAGCGATAATTACGGGAGTTGTTACTCAAAAAAGAAAAATAATTACGGGGAAGGGTGAAAGTCTACTTTAAATAGGGCCAAGTGGCCAACCAGTCTCACACTGCCCTAGAACTCCTCGTGTTCACATTCATTCACCCTAAATAGTATTGCTAATTTGCTATATATACCAGTGTCTTCCTATCATCGCTTCATCTTTTTTAATTCGCAATCATCTTTCGGGGTATTTTAGATGGCTTTGTTTGGAGAATTTTGCTTTAGCTTTTTATTTCTCCCCAATCAGATCCATTCAAGAATCCAAGTTTATCACCGTTTTCATCTATTTCTAGTAATAAATTTGATCTCTTCTTTAATTTCTTCGGTTGAGGTGTTTGTTGCTAGTTGATCTAGCAAATTTTTATAGTTTCAACTATTATCCTTCTGATTTCTTACTTTAGGTGTATGGATCTAAATCTATATGTATTCTAATTTTCTATTGTCCCAATATTTTTAATTTCTAATTTACTTTGAAATAGAATCAGATTTCTTCCTTTTGAATTTTAAATTAATTACTGTTTGTTATATTTTAATCTTAATTTGGAGTCAAATTAAGATTCATTTGAAAAACTAGTTTTTGTTCAAAAAAATTAAATTTTTTCGATGGATTATAAGTGTATGTGTGTCTATATATATATATATATATATATATATATATATATATATATATATATATATATATATATATATATATATATATATATATATATATATATATATATATATATATAGACACACATATACACATATATATACATACGTACATTTATATGTTTCTGTTCTGAATTTCAGTTTTTAGAATGATAATTTCGGTTTTTTTAAATCGAGTGGTTTTGATATTCTTTTATGTATCTGTTCTTAAATTCAGGGCCAGCCCAGAGTTATACGGGCTGCCCAACCGGACCCGGCCGATCATGGACCCAAATATCTTTTATTATTATTTAGGGAGAATACATATGCAAGCCCATTACCCCAAATTCTAAAGCCCCAAAACTCCTAGAGTCTTGACTCCAGTCTCCAGCCAGGTCGCGTTCCGCTCTCCAGAGCTCTACGCAGACGCTCGACGGCCACCACCCACAGTGCAGTGCTCAACTGACGTCTGCAATCCGATTCTGGGGACCTTAAGTCCATATGTCTAGGTATGTTCAATGTCTTCTTTCATAATAATCTTATTTTTTTAGTTGAATTTCTGATTTTAATAATTTTATTCTTTATATTATAGGGTTTTTAATTATGATAGAGTTCCAAGAAACCACAAGTTTAGATTGTCCTTGAATAAAGACGTCGCAACTCTGCGGTGTGAGTTCCAGGATCTAATTGAAAAGCTGCGAATGATGTGTGGAAGTCAAGGTCTTGTGTATAAGGGGATTCCTGAAGCAAACTTTAAAGAAGGAATTCCGTTACTTGAAGTGGAGGTTGTGTATGAAAAACAAAGCTGTAAGGTCCTGATTTTGAAGCACGATGTGTATATTATTGGTTACTCTTGGATGGGAAAGTGGAATATATTCAATGATATAAGGTTTAAACTTGCTGGAGTTTTAATGCTTAAGGAAAATAGCAGCTACACGTCAGGATTGCCGTCTACTCTCGGTGTGGCTGCCTTGGTAGATGCGGTGAGGAGGATGAATAGCAACGACTCTCGAGAGAGAAAATTTGGATGCGAGATATTATTTGTTCATCTTTGTGAGTCTGTTCGATTTGAACCAATTCGGCAGAAAATTATTGAGGGAATAAAAAAAGTCAGTGAGGATGGTACTGAAGAAGAGAATGAAGTTTTTGATGGGTTTGACAGTGCTGAAGAAGAGAAGGAAGTTTTTGAGTGGGTTGATGAAGCTGCTAACTTTCCAGATGTTACAAGGCATGCTCTTCAAAAGGCAAACCTCAATTTTCATGGCAGTGTTGCAGGATTTGAAGAAATGGATAGCATGGCCCACCAATGGTCTGGCCTTTCAAAAATATGGGCAAAACATTGTGCTACTGGATCGTTAGATCCTTTCAACACAAAGGATGTGCGTAGCATTTTGAAAAAATGTGGGATTTCAAGTATCCGAAGTATAAAGTATGTTTTAGCATTGATGAGCTCCCAAAATCTTGAAGAGTTGAAGGATTCTTATGTCCCAACAGCAAAATCAAGTGCAGTGGAACGAGCTTGTTTTGAAAGTGTTTGTAAGCAAGTGAAAATATGGTCTGGAGAGAGGGCATTGGTTTTGAGCCGATTTCAAGTTTAAGATTAGTAGGGCATTGGTTTTGAGCCGCTTGTGGCATCGTGCTTTTTTTTTGTTTTTTGGTGGCACTTTCCTTCTGCAATGCTATCTTGCTATTTGTCTGGTTAGATTGATGTTTCTTTTCTTCCTGAATGTTTAGTTAAAGGGCCGCGTGTGGCATACTGTTTTCTTTTTTGGTGGCACTTTCCATCTGCAATGCTATCTTGCTATTTGTCTGGTCTGGTTAGATTGATGTTTCTTTTCTTCATTGAGAATGTTTAGTTAAAGGACCGCGTGTGGCATACTGTTTTCTTTTTTTTGGGGGCATTTTCTGTCTGGTTATATTGATGTTTCTTTTCTTCCTTGAGAATGTTTAAATTAGAGATCAGGAGAATCATGTACAAGACATAATAATACTGATCCCACCTCAAAATCTGATAATAGACTTGTTGGTTAAGAAGTTGAGATACCGCAAACTACCAAAGATATGTGTATAATACTGATCCCACCTCTAAATCTGATTACTTGTATAATGTCCATTTTTAACATGTACTAAAAAAAAGAATTCTTTGCCTATTCATTTTCATGATTTTGTTTTGTTCTTTCATATATGGGAAGCGAAATTCTTTCCTACTGATGTTGGAAATATTGCCTCCTCTTCTAAGGCCCCTGCTGTTAAATCACTTCCTCCCACTGTGAAAAGCCAAGTTCCCTCACAGTTTTGTTACTCAATTGGATGGTAAGACTAATGTTGTGTTACCTAAGCTCAGTTATGCTCAAACTGTTGCACCTCACTCCGCTCCTGTTCCCGCTTTGGGTAATATGACTGCAAAACTCCCAGACAGAAATGTGATAATGCACAGAGACACTCCTGCCATCAGGTTTGCAGAGGAAGAGATTGAGAACCTATCTAGAATTGATAGGTTTACACTTCTGGGAAAATTTTCCCATGGACAACCAAAACTGGAAGTTATCAGGAAGCACTTTGCAACTCATTATGTCTTAAAGGGTCAAGTTACAATTGGATGGAGGGGTCCTCGACATGTTTTTCTTACCTTCACTAATAGCCAAGACTGCACTGATATTTTGTTAAAAAATCAAATTGCTTTCAATGGAGCTAACCCAATGAGACTTTTCAGATGGACCTTGGATTTCAACACAGAAACAGAAACTTCAATTGCTCCAGTTTGGATTCTATTGCATGGCTTGCCAATTCATTTCTTTGATATTACTGTACTTACTCTAGTATGCAAGCCATTGGGCAAAGTTTTGGGGTTGATCAGGCTACTTTGAACAAATCTAGGCCCCATGTTGCAAGGGTCAGGGTGGAATTGGACTTAATGCAGCCTCTTATTCAAAAGGTCTTTATTGGAACTTCAATGACTCCTGGAAGGGAGGATGAGGGGTTTTATCAATCTATAGAATATGAAAGAATCCCTTTCTACTGTTCCAAATGTCTTAAACAAGGTCACTCAGCTGATAAATGTAAATTGGGGGAAGAACAGCATATTAGGGCAGAGAAGATCAGAAAAGGCAAATATATTATGCTGGAAACCACATCCAAGCCAGATACGAGTAAAGCACCCTCTGTCCAAATCCCACAAAACATGAAGTATGTCCCTAAAATCCAAAATGTCAAAAATTCAGAGACAACAGCAACTGGAAACCATTTTCCACATCCAACGCCAGCACCTGGGCAGGATACTTCTTTTCAAGTTGTACACAAAAAACACCACCATCAGCAGAAAACTACTACCAAGACCTTGGGTCATAAGGAATCACAGCAACCTAAACAATTTGCTCTAACTCCCACTATTAGTATTATTCCCAAAAACCTCTCAAGTCAGCTCCCACAATCAGCCCCTAAACCCCCTTTGGGCACACAGTCTAATTCATTTGGTATCCTGGAACATTTATCTGAAGATCAAACTGTTCTAAACCCCAAAGCTCTGGAATTCCACCCTTCACAAATTGCCCTTAGTGTTTTGCAACAGGTGGAACTGCAACCTGTTGATCAGCATGGAGTACAATTTCCTGTCCTACCTATACCCCACCCACCAGAACAATTGAAGAGTGCTGAAAACACCTCAGCAAATACTATTCCATCTAACAAAAGTGCTATGTTGGAGGAACTTGACCCTGGTCCAAAAACTATAGAGGAAGATACTGAGGAGATGTGGTNATTCTCTACCAAACTACTTGCTACCAGAAAAGCTTTGAACATTTGGAATAAAGAGGTCTTTGGAAACATTTTCACTAAACTTGAGGCTTTGGATAAAAAAGTCCAGGAAGCTGAGGAAACATCAGATTGCACCTACTGATGAGAACTTGATGCATTTCAAATCTGTGGATGCTCAATATCTACACCAACTTCACTTGGAAGAACTGTTTTGGAAGCAAAAAGCTCATGTACAGTGGGTTGTGGATGGGGACAGAAATTCTAAATATTTTCATGCCTTAGTGAAAGCCAGAAGAAGGAAACGGTATATTCATAAAATCAAAGGCCTAGATGGTAATTGGATTGAGGATCATCAACAAATTTCTACTCAAGCTATTGAGTTCTTCCACCAACTGTTTTCTGAGAAACAAAGGGGGGAGATTGATTACAGCCCTCTCTCACATATTAATCCTTTGGTCTCTGCAAGTGATAATGTACAGTTGGTTGCCACTCCTACTATGTATGAAGTTAAACAAGCAGTTTTTTCTCTTAATCCTAACAGTGCTGCAGGTCCCGATGGTTTTACTGGTTTGTTTTATAAAAAATGCTGGGATATTATACACTTAGATGTGTACTCTATGGTTTGTGCTTTCTAAGCTGGCGACTATATGACTAAGAGCATTGCACATACAGCCATTATACTACTGCCCAAGGTTGAGAGCCCCAATACTTTTGCTGATTTTAGACCTATAAGTCTGTGCAACTTCAGCAGCAAGATTATTTCTAAAGTGCTAGCTTCAAGATTGGCTGGTGTTCTTCCTCATATCATCTCCCCTTCTCAATCTGGTTTCATCCAAGGGAGGTCTATAACTAAAAATATTTTGCTAACTCAAGAACTCTGTCATGGCATGCAACTACAACACAGGGATATTGTTTTGAAACTTGATATGGCTAAGGCTTATGACAGAGTTTCTTGGGCCTTTCTCAACAAAATCCAGAGACAAATGGGTTTTTGTGAACAATGGATTGACATGGTGTTCAGAATGGTCTCCAACATATGGTATACTATTCTTGTCAATGGCAAAAGGGAAGGTTTCTTCACCTCCTCTAGGGGATTGAGGCAGGGTGATCCTTTATCTCCAGGTCTATTTATTATAGCAGCTGAATTTCTCTCCCACCTTCTCACACGCAGAAGTCATAGTAAAGGAATTATCCCATTTACTCAACCTAGAGGCATCCAAACTATTAGTCATCTAGCTTTTGCTGATGATATGATAATTTTCACCTCAGGAAGAAGGAACTCTATCCTCAAAATTGTGGAGGATCTGCATCTCTATGAGCACATTTCGGGCCAATTGGTAAGCACACAAAAAAGTTCCTTTTATATGCATCCTGGGAGCGCTACTGTCACCACTCAAAGAGTGGCTGATCTCATTTCAGTTAAACACCAACCTTTCCCATTCTATTATTTGGGATGTCCAATATATAAAGGCAGGCTAAAAGTGTGCTATTTTAACACACTATTGTGGTAGGGGAGATTACTATCCTATGGTGGTAAACAAGTCCTCATTAAGAGTGTGCTGCAAGCTCTTCCTTCCCATCTCTACTCGACTATTCAACCTCCCAAAACAATTTTGAGTAAAATGGAGAAGAGCTTTTCTAACTTCTTTTGGGGCCAATCTGCTGGGAAAAAGCACTACCATTGGAGCTCATGGGAGCATATGAGCTTTCCTGTTAAAGAAGGAGGTTTGGGCTTTACAAAAATGCAGACCATGGTGGATGCTTGCAGTGCCAAGTTGTGGTGGAATTTTAGAACCGCTGTCACCTTATGGACTCAATTCATGAAAGCCAAATATTGTCAAAGAGTTCACCCTGTTGCTAAGGTGTGGCAACATGGTGAGTCCCACATATGGAAGAGGATGGTCTTCATTCGAAACCTTATTGAACCTTACATATTTTGGAAGATATATGATGGATCCTTGAGCTTCTGGTGGGATAACTGGACAGGTCTTGGAGCTTTAGCTCGTATTACCAACCAGGAGAATGGGAGATTTCTTCTTGCTCCTTTCAAAGAGTATGTGGTGAATAATACTTTAAATTTTGGTCGACTACAAAACCTCATGGATCCAGGTTTCTTTTTCCACTTTAATGTGGATCTGTCAGGGTTGGGGACTAACAAATCTGATAAAGCCATTTGGAAGCCTAGGTCTAATGGCCTCTTTACACTCAAGGCTGCTAAACATTTCTTGGGGTGCAATGGTCAGACTTCCGTACAACTTCAGAAATGTTGGAATACTCGTATTCCTTTCAAGATGTCCTTTTTGTGTTGGAGAGTTTTGCTCAGGAAACTACCTCTGAACTCCATTATATTAAAGTTTGGTTATAATTTGCCTTCAAAATGTTTATGTTGTGATACTCCCTCTCTTGAAACTACTGAGCATGTTTTTTCACAAAGCAATATAGCTCAATATGTATGGCAATATTTCTATGATATATTTGGAATGAATAACATGGCAGCCTCTGTTACTCAACATTTAGACACTTGGTGGGGCCCAAAAATACTCTCTAAGAGACCTACGGTCAGGGCTTATTTGCAGCACTGTATTCCAGTGCTTATACTTTGGGAACTATGGGTTCACTATGCAGCTTTAAAGTATGGGGAGGGGCAAATTAATGTGGCTCGTGTTATTTTCAAAGTGAGGAAGGGTGCAACAGAGGTGGTTTGTAGGAAATGGCCCTCACTTTTCACTTCCTTTACTGACTGGAAAGCTATTTTTCAACTTAAAGATGTTTTACCCAAACATTTCCATTTTAAAAAAGTCTCTTGGGACCCCCACCCGTGCACACTATCAAACTTAATGTGGCATATTTGCAATCAAACTATAGAAGTGGGGCAGCAGCTGTGATTAGGGATTCTACAGGGACTTTTCTATTTGCACAAAGCATCAGGGGCATGTTCACTAAAATGGAGGCAGCACTTGACATATTAATTGCTATTATTCCTTGGTGTTTAAATGCTGGTTTACACAGAATTCAATTTGAGGCAGACTTTGAGGAACTGGTGCAGCTTCTTAACCTTGCTGTTCCTCTAATTGCTATGAACAACTTCAGGTTGGCTTTTCTGTTATCTTGCTGTACTTATACAGCACATATCTGTGAGCATGAGGCTAATAGGGTCACAAACTATTTAGTTAAGTGGTGCAATAATCAACTCCATCCAAGTTGGGAGTTTTGTGATATTTTTGATTTACCTACCTACTGTCAAGTGCTAGGCCAACATGATATTCAACGCATTCCTAGCTTTGCTGCTTCTACTTTGACTTGATTATGCAGTCCTATCTTTCGGCGGATATGGAGAACTTGGATATTGGGTGCGCTCAATTTCCTTTTCCTATCAGCTAGGGGATAGTGTTTGCTTTCTGTTAGGAGGTTTTTTAAACCATTACTGGTTCTACTGGGGCTAAGGAGAAGTTGGATATTATAGGTGCGCTTATAATATCTTTTCTTAGTCTTGGTATGTATGGTTTGTGATGTGAGGAGTGGTTGACTCGGATGGGTTTGTATTCCTCCCTTTGGAGATGATTACCACTCCTCTTGTGTTGTCATTCTTCTTTCTCATGACCTTTTAATGACACATTACCATGGTGCACTTCTTATCTTGTGACATTGGTAATGCTTTGGTTTCGGTTGTTTGTATGTTTGTTTTGACCGTATGTGGCATTGGTCATGCCGTAGTTTTGGTTTCGTATGTTTAGACCTTATTGTGGCTTTGGTCAAGCCCTAGATTAGTATGTTGGTAGTTAGGACTTTCTTGTGGCTTTGATAAAAAAAGTTGTTTTTACCAAAAAAAACAAGCATTTGGCAATAATTAAATGTGCAAACATCAATTGCAATAATTAAATGTGCGATATGAATAATATGTACCCCATAACTTGTAAATATGCGAATGAATGATGTACAAAAAACGTCATAGATTGAGATGTATAATATTGGTATTCCCATATGTGTAGTTGTGAAAAGTGTGCCTACATTACATACCGCAAAGATATACACTATGTTTGGTTCAAGGAATTTGAGAGAGAAAAGAAAAGAAAATGAGAAGGAAAATATTTTTTCTTGTTTGGTTAGAAAGGAAAAAAAAAAGAAAAGTGGAATGAAAAGAAAAATAGAAGGCAAGATGTACTAAGGGGAAGGAAAACCAAATTTCTCCCATTTTAGTGAGGAAAATGAGGGAAACCTATTTTCTTTTCTTTTCCTACCAAATTCCTTGAACCAAACATAGTGATAGTGTTCTTCGTTTTCATTTTGGTCTTAGCATTTTTGTTATATTGTATGGCATGTTAGTTGTTTTCCCTCCTTTAAAATGTTTTCCAAAAACCCTTCAAAACTATTTTTGAGTCAGTTGCAAAATAACATTGTCACTGTGAGAACTATTCGAAAAGTTCTGATATTATTCGAATAGTTGTGGACTTTCTTTTTTGATTCACAGTGAACTATTTGAATAACCTTTGTTTTACTCGAATAAGTCAGAGTTCTTAACTCTGCCCTATTCGAATTATTAGCAAATTATGCGAATAAGTCCTGAAGCTCATTTCTTCAATCCTACAGTGGCTTAGGGTCCGTTCCGTAGGATTTATTTTTTCTACTTATTACTTATTCTTATTAAAATCAGATCAGATCAGACCTAATCAGATCAGATCAGACTCAATCAGATCAGATAAGAACCAATCAAATCAGACCAGATTCAATCAGATCAGACCAGATCAAATCCAATAATATCAAATCAAGAAAAAAATCTAAAAGATAATATTTATATTTTCAAGGATTAAATAATAATTACTATTATTTGATTAAATCACATTACTTTATTTAAAACTACACACACCTAAATCTTAATTAATATTATAATTTTAAGTATTATTCTTGTAATAGTCTTGTAATATTATTATTTTTATTATTATTGTTATTATTATTATTTTTATTATTATTATTACTATTATTTTTATTATTATTATTATTATTATTTTTATATTTCAACTACAAACCATTATTTTATATACTCCGGGTAATTGTTTAGCTTGCAGGATAGAAATGATGCATGGAAGCAATGTCAAAGCTGAAAAAATTTATTTTTCATACTTTAAAAAACGTTATTTTAAAAGACTTGTTTATAAAATAATTATACAAAATTTAATTTTCAAAACCATAAATATTTTATACTTAAAAAGACTTACTTTTAAACTTTAAGATGGTATAATATACTCAAAGATGAGTTTATGACAAAATTGATAGAGGTGAAAGCGATAATAGTGTTTAAAAAAGTATAAACATATTAATGATTAGCTAGTTTTCTTATTTTATTTTTTTATGTATATATGAATTGTAATATTTTAAAACTATTAAATTTTGTAATAATTTTAAGTTTAATTTAAATCAGATTTAAATTCATTTACACCGGATCTAATTAATTAGAGAAAATCAGATCTAATCAGATCAGATTAGACCTAATCAGATCAGATCAGACTCAATCAGATCAGATCAGACCCAATCAGATCAGATCAGATCCAATCAGATCAGATCAGATCAGAACTTCAAAAATTCAGATCAGATTCAATCAGATCAGGCGTAAGGAACAGAGCCTTAGTCGAATAGGTCTTCACTTAGTTGAATAAGTCTGAGTTTGTTCGAATAAATCGTCAGTTTGAACTGCAGATTTGTTAGTTTTTAAGGAAGTTGTGTAGGTAAATTTTAGTAGTGGTTCCTCAACTTTCATTGGAATTTCGAAGTGGTACCTAAACTTTAAATCCTTTTAAAAAAATTCCTGAACTTACATAATCCTTTCACTAAAAGTCCATTTACCCGTATCCGGGTAAACTTACGGTCATTTGGGCTAAAGTTAGAATCCTTTAATATAATACTAGTATTTAACCCGTGCAACGCACGGGGTCAAATGCATGTTATTTTTAACTCCGTTGAATTTTTGGTTTTAGTAAATGGACAAAAAAATATAGCTAAATATAGTATACAATGTTAGAAGCATAATGAATGATATGATATAAACAAAGTATGCTAACTAAAATTTATATATATATATATATATATATATATATATATATATATATGCATAAATTGAGAAGAACGTATAAATATATTAATTAAATCCAAAATTTTTTGAAAAGCTTTAGGGTAAACTATATTTTTTGTGCAATTGCAAGAGTCATCGTTGTCATCTAAAACTAACTCTTTCAATTCTTTTTTAGTTTTCACTCGTGAAACTGCAATATAAAGTTCACCATTAGAGAATGCCGATTTAGTCAAGAATAATCCAACAAAAGATAATGTTTGGACTTAACTCTTATTGATCCTCATGCCAAAACATAAAGATATTAGAAATTGTCTTTTTTGAAACTTAAATGGTAATTCAGGATCGGCACCAAATTCATTCTTAGTATGTAAACTTTCTCAATTGCATTATTTCCGGATACAAAAATTGCACCGATAACGTTTATTCGCAACTCTTCAACTATTAACCTTGTAACACTACACAACCCAGATGTTTGATCAATTTTTCTTAATAACATAATTGGAATCTCCGAACACTTGAATCTATGAATAAGAGACAAAACAAAATCATTGATAGTGCTAATAGAGCTTTATCCATAAAAAACGTATAATCTTTCATATTTTCCAATAAGTTTGGATATGTGAGTTCCACTATACTCTACAGTGGAGAACTTGAGTTCAGGATCAAGGATTCAAGTGGAATTTCAATTTCACCAATTCCATCATTAACCACGTCAAGCTGTTCATCTCCAATCTTGGTTATCCACTCAGAAAAAAGTTGTGTGTCACTATCTGCATGGTTGGATAAAGACAAATGTAATCTCATATTTTTAGTCAATGTAAATACTTTACAATACGACCACAAAGTCGATGAATTCACGATACCTTTAACAATTTCTTTTCTTGAAGCTTTTGGTGTAACCGGAAGTATTTGACGAAAGTCACCCCGAGCACAACCGTTTTCCCACCGAAAGGTTCATTTTTAGCATTTTTATTAGAGAATTGCATAAAATCTCTCAATGTACTACTCCCTCTGTCTTGAAATAATCTTCCTGTTTCTCCTTTTTTCCCGTCCGGAAATAATCTTCCCATTTCAATTTTTAACACACAAACTACCCTAAATACCCTCACCCATTTATCTTCTGTTTTTTTCCTTTCCTTTTTTTCCTCGTTTGTTCCGTCGTTTCTCCTCAGCCATATCTTATTCTTCTTTCTCTCCCACACCCACCACTCAGCCATTTCTTCTTTTTCTCTGCTCTTTCTCCTAATCTTCATCATCCTCTTTAGATTTACTCTTTTTTTCTTGTTCTTGTTCTTCTCCTCCTCCTCCTCCTATTCCCCTCCCCCTTCTTCTTTCTCCTCTTTCTCAGATCTGTCGATCTGCGCCCATCTATCGATCAGCGACAGATCTGTTCATACATCTTCTTCTCCTCCGATCCTCCTATTCCCCTCACCCTTCTTCTTTCTCCTCTTTCTCTTTTTCTCCCGGACATGGCGGCTGACGACGGTGGCCTAGCGCCTAGCGGCGTAGGAGTATTTTAGATCTAAATTTTCGGCGGGCTAACAATTGTGATACGGGCAAGGTGGTGGTGGGACTGCAGTGATGGTGGGGGGAGGGGGGCTCTGCGGTGGTGGTGGGACTGCAACGATGGTGGGGGGCTCTGTGGTGGTGGTGCGGTTGACGGAAATGGTTGGAGGCTTGGAGCAATTGGGAAGTGGTAGTGGCAGACAGGGACAATTGTGGCAAAAGAGAAGGGTAATTTGGACATTTTCCTTCCAAAGTCAACACTCCAAAAAAATGAGAAAAAGTCCAATTGGGAAGATTTTTCCTGGACGGAGGGAGTATTTCATTTTTTCTTAAAAGTTTGTTATATATTTGGTGTATTATTTGTGATTCTCTTAGTTGATTAAATATTACGGAGTATTAATTTTTATTTGGTAGAAGGCAAATTGTTTGACATTTTATTAAAAAATTTAAAATACAATAATTTTTTAGTATATAGTATCTCGGTTAATATTTTATATTTTTTTTATTAAAAACTATTCTGTAATATTATACTCAAAACGTATAAATTTGCTTTCTTAATTATTATACATTTACGTTGCGAAAATGTGTAACACTTTATTCTTACTTTTTATTGACTAACTTTTCTTTTTTTTCAAATATTTTTACAAATAAGTAAATAAAGAGAGTCCACCTTATCTAATGGTGGGGAGCTATAAAGCTCATCAACATCATCAAAATCTTCAAAGTCCTCCAAGAAACAGAACATAATGTGAATGCCCAAAAACATATCACATAATGCATATGCGATGAAATATTTCAACCAAAACCACATGTGTATTATGTATTTAGTGTTGTTATGTGTGGGTAATTAAAACAATAAAAACAAACTCTAAAGTCTACAAAATATCTATATTAATTTTGAGGTAAAATTTCCATGATATGAAGATTTTAAGAATTCAATAGTAGTATTTGATCTCTTTAAATGACATGAGTTTATTTGGGGGAGGGGGGTTATATTGAAAAAAGCAAACCTGATTGCGCTCCACATAGCATCCAGAAAATCATTAACATCATTGACTTGCTCTGGGCTCAACTCATCATTATCCAGTAACCTCAAGATCAATTCTAACTTCATTATATGAGCCTTGTGTCGAACAATGGATGCTTCCAAATGAACTTGTGAAAAGATCTCACATGAACACCAAAAGAGTCAAACCACTCATAATGTCATCAGTATTAAGATGTTCCCTTTCTTTACCAATCTTGGGGGCCTTGTTTTCCCTTTTTAACAGTTAGTCCTTTCAGTTCTGCATCAAAAATATCAATTTGATTTTCCAGCTCGCCGACCTAGGCATAAAAAGGGACAAACATCTTTAATCAATTGCTTGGAAGGTTATTTGGCAAGACAACAAATACTCATTCCGTCCTAAAAAAGGATCCACATTTTGTTATTTTGTTTGTCCCAAAATAAGGTTCCACTTTCTTTTCAAATAAATGGACCTGTGGTTTACATTATTTCTGTCTCTCCTGCGTAGGTTTCAATCACTCAATTTTACATTTCTTAAAAGTTGTGCCCAGTCAAATATGGAATTTTAATCCGGGACGGAGGGAGAAAGTAACCGCACAACAACGAAAAAGAAAATATATTAAATATATAATGAAAAAATGGCATGCTCACTGGATTATCCAAATTACCAATGCAGCCATGCATATGAAAATTACAATGCCTGAACTAAAACCTTGTTTGAGTTCCATTGGAAAAGCATAAAAGTAAGGATTTAAAGGCAATTGAAGTTACACTAGTGTACCACCGTTAAGTACCAAGTAGACAGTGTAGAGACAATATTGTAACTGAATAGAATGTGGGCTAATAATTAGGCCCATACCACATTTTTCAACCAATCTCTTGTCTCTAATTTAGCCTTTTGCTTTGGATCCTAACGAAAAGAGAGAAAAATCAATTTTCAAATTACTGTAGTCTTAACAGCCGGGAAGATTCAATGTTAACATCCAACTATTAAAATGATTAACCCATTAAAATTCATTAATTCGGACTGCAACATCTGAAATTGAACCCTAAAACATTGCTATTGCACAAAAGAAATGAAAAATGAAAGTTAAATTCCCTTATCTTTTCTTTTCCCACAAAAAATGTTTAATATGGGAAAAAACTTATGAACTGAATGAACTCTACTTTAAAAATATTCCATAAAAACAGCAGCATGTAAGTGAAAAACTTCTCCAGTAGCACATTTCCAGCACTCCGATCATCAGATTAGAGAGTTGCAATCAATTCATTTTATAAGCATTTCAGAATGTAATCTTCAATACCATGATTGGCTGTTGGCCCAAGCCTTCTTTTGAAAATGCATTTCACTAATCTATGTTGAACAGAACCAAAGAAAAGTATAGTCAACACATATTCTATACTTCATACATGTTAAAAGAATAACACTCGCATGTACATTAAAAAAATCTGATTATGAGCCATCTCGAAACCATCGCTCTATGTTTCAAACATAGAGGTCAAACTACATACATACAACCCCCTCCCCCTTGCCCCGAAATATGCAGGAGCCTTTGAGGTACAGGGCTAGTGTTGTTTTTGTTGTATATACATTAAAAAAACTATGGTGCCACGAAACCACAGAGAGCTCATACTATGTAAAGCAAAGTCTGGCCTGCATATGATACATAAAAACCATAAAATGAATTACCTACTTATTGAAGTCAAACAATCTCCCTGAATTGCAGTCAAACAATCCAGCAAAACTGGAAAAATAAAGGACGAAGAAGAAGAGCTATCGATAACCATGAAAGGGGAGAAATGGCTGTTGGTGATTTTAGTGTCATAGGTTTATTTTGTGTAATGGGATTTACTTTGATCGGACAAGAATTTAAATAGACGTTGTCAAACGAGTTAGGAGGCGCGGAGTGCGCGCTCGTTCAACGATATTATAAATTCATTGCGGGGGTCCGGTGGCGGCAGCCCCCGGTTAGCGGGGTCCAAGGAGCGGTAGCCCCTGGCGGGGTCCAAGGGGCAGAGCCCCTATCCGGGGTCGGGGTCGAAGTAAGTCATGGCTTGGAAATTTTTTATTTCAGACGTTATTTCTTTATGAAAATCCTTAAGATTTTCGTGATCGGAGTCCAAATCATTAAAGGACTCGAACAATGGATAAACGTCGAAATTAAGCCTTAAACCGCAAGAGACCTTTCGTTCAAACTCGCACCTTCCTCTTCCTCGCGTGAACGTACGCGTAGATGTACGCGTACGTTCATGTCTGATCACAAGAATTTTCGACTCTATAAAACAGAGTCTCGTGGTATGGGTTGAGTGAACGATTTCGAGTGCTTGTTCTGAATTAACGTCTTATCCGATTGAAGTATTTCGTATACCCCGAAATAACTTTGATCTGAAAGCGTTTCGTACGCGATTCGTTATTCTATCGAATTCTTCGTATAAACACTGCTTCGCAGTGTTATTTCTTCTCTAATTCTAACAAAGATCAAAGTTATTCCTTAAGAACTCAAAGATGACGTGTGGCGATTTCGTAAGAGATTTGAGCAGCAAGTTCTCGAAGTTAGAAAAGTTCGAAGGCCAGGACTTCCGTCGATGGTAGAAGAAGATGCACTTCCTTCTCACAACATTGAAGGTCGTGTATGTACTGAGTACGCCTATGCCGCAGATCATGGATGACGATACACTGGAACCGACGAGGAAGCGGTGCAAGTGGGAGAACGATGACTACATTTGTCGAGGACATATTCTAAACGTTATGTCTGACTCTTTGTTTGGTGTATATCAAAATGTTGAATCTGCAAAGTTACTGTGGGACGGTCAAGAAGAAAAGTACATGGCCTAGGATGCTTCGAGCAAGAAGTTCCTCGTCAGTAATTTTAACAATTATAAGATGGTCGACTCTCGACCGGTCATGGAACAATACAATGAACTGTTGAGGATCCTGGGCCAGTTTGCAGAGCATAATATGGCAATGGATGAATCCATATCTGTGTCTAGTATTATAAACAAACTGCCTCCTTCGTGGAAACAATGCAAACACGAGTTAAAGCATAACAAGGAGGAAATGAATCTGGTGCAACTTGGAACCCATCTTTGGATTAAGGAGTCCATCCGAGATCAAGAGGGAAAGAAGGTGAAGGACATAGCCGGTCCATTCTCCATCAACATGGTCGAAGACGAAGGTTTCACCAAAGTAAAGAATAAGTCTAAGGGTAAAAAGCGCAAGTCCGGAAATACACCCAAACCTGTAAATAAAAAGGCTAAAATGGGTTGTTGGAAGTGTGGGAAACCAGGCCACTTCAAGCAGGATTGTCGGATTGGCAAGCGGGACAAGGATACAAGTAAGAATGGTTCAGGTCAAGGAACCAAGGACCAAAACAAATCAGAAGGTCAGATTATTTCACTCATCAATGATTCGGTTAAGAATTATGTCTCAATTATATCTAATGCATTTTATGTGCAGGATGATGACATCTCTTAGTAGGTTGATTCGGGGGCAACATGTCACATGTGCAAGGATAAAAGATGGTTCAGTTTGTTGGAATCAATGGACTATGGATCAGTGTTGTGCACGGGAAACATAGCCACCGAACCTGTCAAGGGAATTGGAATAGTAAAACTTGTATTCACCCTACGTCAAAAACAGATGCTGACAACTGTTTATTTTAGTAGTCTATAATTGATGTTTTCAGTAGTCTTTCGAACAGCTGTCTGATGGGATGCTAGACCTCGGTTTAGAACAATTGTGCAAATCAAAATCTGACAACGGTGTTTTGTAGCTTAACACAACTTTGAACATTTGTTGTCTGCTCGCGATTGAGTCTACAATTTTGGATATACTCAGACAACAGTTTTATTGTGTTGTATATAGAAGTTCAGACAACTACTTAAAAACAACTGTCTTAATTAATTGTATATAGACTATTACGACAATGGTTCATTGTAGTTGGGATTGATGCGGTTACACTATGTTTTTCAGGTGTAGTCTAATGTTCTATTAGACAGCTGCTCGGAAGGCTACTATAAGTAATTCCATCAAACCTCTGCTACCTTCTGTTTTATGTACAACGTTGAGACTATTTCTTTGGTCTTACCTTAAACAACTCTTTTTTTTGGTTGTATGCCGTCTATTAACACTCCAGTTTATGTTCGTTGTCCTTTAAACATTGACACTATACTTCCAAACAGTAGTTGAATATGCTACCAGACAACTGCTCGGAAGACCACTATAAGTATTTCCTTCAAACAACTATTACGTTGGGTTGTATGCATAATGTTCAGACTATTATTTTGGTCTTATCTTAAACAACTATTTGTTTTAGTTGTACAACATCTATAAACAATACTGTTTTGGATCGTTGTCGTACCACCCATTCAAACAATATTTTGTGACAGTAGTCGAAATTGTTATCAGAAAGCTGCTTGTAACACCACAAAAAACATTAGCATTAGAGAACTGTTCTTTTTTGTGGTATATCTAAAACTAAGAATACGATTATGTTTCATTTCACACGACTGCAAGTACCAGATGTCTAGCAGGGCTCTACTAGTTTATATAGTTGTCCGTAAAATTTTTGTAATATCAAATTAACAGTAGTAAGGCTGCTTGTCAGTCAAGCGTTTATTTGTGTTGCCTATCATAATCAGATGGTTCTGTTTTATGGCGTTGTGTTGCAGATATTCAAACTATTGACATTTGGTGTTGTGCATCAACCATTCGGAGTACTGAATTTGGTGGATAACCATGTTTTCTGCATTCTAATACACTGGTCGTTCAATAATTCATACAACAGAAAGACTGATCAAGAAAAGAAATATAAATTCCCAATACATGATTCAACAATCTAACACAATAAAACATACAACCAAAGTCCAGGGGTAGAACCATTCAAATGGCATTATGACTCATAAAATACTTCGCAAATTCAACCTTTGTTTGATTGATATCATCCTCGGTGTATTCCAGATTTCCCCGACGTGCCCACTGAAAATCGTAGGAAAAAACCAAATATCTAATAAGCCATTCATGGAAGTGATGAAGTAAATATAGGATGCAACACATAAGAACTGATTTGTATGAAGGCATTATCCGTGATGACTAACACTAAATAACTGACCAATAATTAATACTCAAACCTTCACTTGCATTGAGCAGTACACATTATTAGTGAACTAGGAGAGGCTCTACTTAATCTTAAAGTCTCTCCTGATTAAAAACACCAGAACTGTACACAAAATAAAAAAAACTCTGTACAGCGCTATCTTAAATTAGCTTCAAATTAAATCTGTGTAAAGAGCATGTATCAGAAATTGCATTTATCCAGAAATTCAAACTAAAAAAACACACTCCTAAATGATACACGGATGCAAAGAAGCACTTAATAGAGAACACATAAAATCAACATGCAATTCAAACTTTGCAATTCAGTAATGGTATGATAACATGCAATACAGTAAATATCCCCAGAATAAGAAAAAGGCACAATAAGTGTGAACCATCCGAAACAAGAAAAACTACATTTAAGACAACAATATTACCTTTGAAGCAAATTGAACCTCCTTATCCTGACAGATCTCTTTCATGTATCGCATTACAAACAAGCCACAGTCTACACTCCCTTTTTGCATCGGGATGCCCTAAAAAACAAAAATATAAAGTACGTTATACAACACTTCTCATTCAACCTGCAATACATACCAAATAATAAGAATCATATAATACCGCCATGTTCTCCCAAGACACTTTCTTCTTCAACATAGGTGTGTTCATGGTACTCTTGTACAAACTATAGCACTATAAGGAAACCAAAAAAGATAAATATAGAAATTTTAAAATCAAGAGTGATAGCAAATACCAAAGATTTTTGTTCATTGAGTCACTACTTACTTATCAACCACTTCAGTCCACTCCTGACTATCTATACGCCGCTTAAGGGGGTCCATGTAGTACACTACCTCTTCATTAGGTTTGACAACAGTCAAAGCCCAATGATTCCTACAAATAAAAACATATATGAATTACGACATTCTCAGGAACTTAAATAAATTCGCATTTACATAAGTGTATTAACAAAGCATTACAAATACAAATTGAGTACTAAGTTCACAAGGAAGAAACAATTCAGAACATCAGTTCTTGACATGAACAACTTAAACATACTTACACGTCATTGAACGGTATTAGAAAGTGTTGTCCATCACAGGCCCCCTTAAAGCGATCAGCAAGCTTGCGTGACCTCTGCCCTATGTCCCCACATGCAAGCGTCCCTACCATGCCGGGATCCACGAAAGAGATCATCTGAAGCATTTTGTTTTTTTCACAAGCTCATACAGGCAGCTGCAAGGGTAATTACAAGATAGTTATGTCACTTGTCCATAAGAATTTTATATCAAAAGGCTTTTAACAATGAAAATAAAATGTTTATGTGATGACATTCTTACTGGATGTATATTGTAATTATGCTTCCAGCCATCTCGCCACGAGCGCACAGAGCATGTATATCACTCAGAAAAACTGATAACTTCTTTTCCACCCCAAAGGCATCTTTATTAAAGACAAAAGTATGTGCTCTATCATCAGATAATGCTTCCTTAGCCCACAACCATAGCCGTTTCAGCTGCAGTGGATACTCAACACCAAATTCTACTTTGAACTCTTGGCACAAAATTGTCTAGCCCAAGTTGTTTTTTTAAGGTGCATGAATTAGCATTTGGAAAGAAAAATGTGGTGATTAGGAGTTATTGCATTTGGGAGGCTCTTCATTTGTCTTACGTTGGGAGCTTGGCTTTAATTTAATGCCTTTACTTTTATATTTAAAGCCTTGCATAGGCTTTGGAAAAATGGTGTGGGGGGCTGGTACGAGCATGAGGGAAAAAAAACTAGCCATGTGTGCTCTTTTGTGAGAGATGAGGGAAAAAAACTAGCCATGTGTGCTCTTTTATGAGAGAGGTTGTACAACTTGTTTATTCATACAATATTTTAGGGGTTTTTCTTTGTACAAAAATATTGTATGTGGGTCTAGGATTGGTGTTGTAATCCTTGACAGTTAAGTTATACTTGCACTATTTTTATAGTGGTGGTTTTACCTCTGTAAAGAGGGTTTTTCCGGTTTCAATAATCTTTGGTCTCATCTCTGTTTTTTGGCTTGCAGTTTCTTTGTTCTTCGATCGTCTACTAGTTTGTTCCTTTCGTTGCGTGGGAAGTTTTGTGCTAAATTTCCCAACAAAACGTTAGGATAAGATGAAATAAAGAAATTGTGATTAGTTTGTAAGAGATATGAATTGTGTAGAAACAGAAGATGCATAGCTAATGTAATACTCCGTATATGTAAAAGAATGATAGTGACAGTCGTCCAATAGTTTGCATATCCAAACTAAAAGAATGAGTGACTACAAGAACAAGCAGGAGCAAGCTAAGTAACTGAGAATTACGTAGTATATCGTATCCGAAATGAAGATCTGATTGACTATGTCTGTACAGGTATGTATGTATCCAGCTGCCAGTATTGAATCCAGAGAAGTATCACTTCATCATCCTCTTGATCACAACATTCTCAAAGATATGTGTCTGGCTACGAGTATCCATTCCACTCCCGGTGAAGAAGTCATGGCACAGAAGTGCAGATATAGAAGGCATTGGCCTCTCGTTCGCGTTCCAGTTTAGACACTCGGCCACGAACTCCTCGAATTCCCGGGGGAAATACTGTTGGGGACTTGTCGTGTGGTCCAAAGCAAATTAAAAATTTATAAATAACCTTAGATAACCCCCAAAATATAATCAAATAAAAAACTATAGCTAGGGCAAGTAAGGGTCGATCCCACGGAGAATGATTGTACTTTTGCACACACATTGTCACGAAATAAAAATAAAAAAACTACACATATGATAAGAAATTATAAAACTTATAACTAAAAACATATAAATATAACTTATATAAACAAAGAACTTATAATATAACTTATAAACATAAAACATATACTTAAGATATACTAAAAAAGTATAAAAACTTATATTTATAACTTAAAACACAAAGGGGGGGATTGAATAAAAAGTAAATATTTTTTTTGGTTTTTTATATTTTCTTATTTTTTGGTTTTTTGATAAAATGGGGGAAATAAGCTCAAAAGATATTACTTCTCTAATAAAGGTAACCCAAGAAACACCGCCAAGAACCCGAGACAAAATGAAAAAAGAGAACAAACATGAGTTGAACATTACACGTATAATAGGCACGTAGACAATATATTACGTAATTTACGCACTTAAGAATAGGAAAAACAATCAAAGGCCGAGTCAATTCATTTCCTTAACCACGATATGGAGGATTGTCAACTCTCCACACGGCCCGGAGTCATGCAATTCAAAGGCCCATTTTGAAATATACCTTAGAACCCCAACTCACCAATCAAGCATGAAAACATACTTCCACTATAGAAAAAGTTTATAAAAGAGCGAATTTTTTTTCATTCTAACTCCTATGCATAATATATTCACAAACTCCCAATACCTTATTCATTTTAATAAACTTTTTCTTCTAATGATGAGCATATTTCACAGATTTCCATGAACTTCTCAAACCAATGACATTTTTTCTATTCACATAGAAGAACACAACGTATTTTCAATAAATCAAGAATTGTTTTTGAGCTTAAACAACCTCAAATTAATGAAAATAACAAACGAACAAAAGAAAACATACACAATCACTAAATAACGAATTCTAAGAAAAATGAATCATCTTATGGGGCTAAGAAGTCCAAAATTCTTAAAATCAACGAACACAAGCACAAAAGAGATTCACGTATGAATTCGGAGTTTATGGAGCTAAAATAGGTTCAACAAAAACCGAATTCTACATAACAACCTACTTATAAATCAAATTATACAATTCAACCAATTCAACAACAACTTGCTCAATAATTGAAGAAAAACTAGTTTGAATCAATTCTCATTCATAAGGGATATTAATATAAACATGAAAAAAACCCATAAAGAACACCAACCATTTTGGGATTTTCGAAATTAACACAAACAAATAAACAAAAATGTAAAAATTAAACTAAAAACAAAACACTTTACAAAGAATTAGAGAACCAAATTGGAGAAATAACATATAGGGTTACCAATTGATGAAGAAGAAGATGAAATTGAAGAAATTGGAGCTTGAAGAAGACTGCCCACCACTCGCCGGAGCTTTTGCTGCCGCCAGTTCGCGTCTGCAGGCCGTCCGCCACCGCCGCCGTGGCTAGGACGCGGCTCTCTTGTCGTTGTTCCTCGTGTGTTCCNAATTTATAGCGAGGAGCTTTGGACTTTCAATTTCTTCCCGTTGGAGCGTTAAGGCGAGATTGGCGGAAGAACGTTGTCTTCGCTGCTTGCGCAATGAAGGAGAAGCTAGCATCTTTTTTTTCTTGCGCTGGACAAAATAAGAAAGGGAAGTTTGCTGGGCTGTTCTTTTGTTTATGTAATGATGGGTTTGGGCTCTAGCCCAAAATTAATATCTTCTTTCAAAACTTGAACTGCATTTTGGCCTTTTTCTACATTTTTCTCCAAAAATAAGATATCTGAAAATTTGGGTTAGGGAAAAATAATAAAAATAATAGAATGTAATAAAAATGATTAAAAGACTACTATTTTTGAAAGAAAATAAAAAGATTGTAAAAATGAGAATTAAAATAAAACTAAGCTAAACAAATAAAAATTAAACACTGAAAATACTAAAAATACCATAAAAAAAAGAATAAAAATATTAACCCAAACCCGAGTTATCAAATACCTTTCCTCTTCGTCGTCTTACGGTCTTCCCCCCTCCCGAGGGATCCTCCCGGGAAGCCTTCTCGTCTTTTTTATTTAGTAATTAGATCAAAACCATAAATAAAAAAAATAGTATTAACTTACTCTGTTCTGAAGTCTTTAACTTCTCTTCATTAAGCACAACTTTTACTCACATTTTAAAGGGAGAAAGACCAAACTAGGACTAAAACATTGAGAATATACCAAAATAGGACTTCCATTAAGCACAACTTTTACTCACATTTTAAAGGGAGAAAGAACAAACTAGGACTAAAACATTGAGAATATACCAAAATAGGACTTCCATGTTTTTATTCCCGAAATAGGACTTACATTACCAAACATGGTCATATACATTATCAAAAAAATATAGTAATTTGCACATGTACACTGCCACATTACCACAATGCAAAGTCACATTACCATAGTGCCAAGTCTCATTCCGGGAAAAAAAACATGAAAGTCCTATTTTAGTACTTTTCTCTATGTTTTAGTCCTATTTAGGATGATTTCTACATTTTAAAAGGTAGAAACATAGGCTTTTTATGAAATTTAATTATTCGAATAAGGAATAGTGTAAAAAGAGTGCTTAATAGGCATACCATTATATCGCCTAGGTTTCACCATCTGTATCAAAAGTATCGGTGGATTTGCCAACCCTTCATTTAGTCCTTCGATTATTTTATCAATATGATGAGCACACAATGTACAATCAAGACGGTTTCCCTTGAACAAAGATTTAATAAAGTTAATAATTGTAGAAATCAATAAATAAAATAAATTTGATATCAAATATGTCAAATTTATGTGTATGTATACTTATGGTCTTCCAATACAACTTCCATCATTCTCTCGGGAACACTTGACCATGCGATCTTTCGCCATTGTACGACCAATAACTTTTCCAATGACATCTGTGATCAAAACATTAGGATATAAGATGTAATCCCTTCGTTCCACAAAACCCTTAGCTTCCTCTTTTATTTTTTTGCTTTCCACAAAACACTTCCACTTTCTATTCACTTTTACCCATACTTTTTCATACCCTACCTATCATATCATACTTTTTCACTAATAACCAAACTATCGATCACATCTTACTTTTTCTCATCACATCAGAGGCAAAATTAGAAAGTCAACCAAAATTACAGTTTCCTTATTTTTTCCCAAAGTCAAAACTGGAAGGGTTTTGTGGAACGGAGGGAGTAATTTATTTAATGTATACTAACACATGAAATCTTTATATATAATTATTATATTATTGAATTTACTAACCAATCAACAGGATGTCGTATATTAAAGTCAGTAACTAGATGTCATCGAATGCCATAAATTTATATCAAAAATTCGGAAATAAGTCAGAAGATAATTTTTGAGGTTTTGTTCTTACAAAAAACACTATCATAAAAGGATGGGATGTTGTCTTTGTGTTCTTTAAGTTGCATTAAACTCTGAACTTGGTTAAACCATAAACTTAGTTTTCTTCGAGGTCATCTTCGAAAGTCTTAATCTTCAAATCTCTTATCAGCGCATGAATCTGATTTCCTTGTAAACACATGCAAGCATTATTAGTTGATTATGTAATTATAATTATTTATTTACTAAATATAATGAATAGGCATCGAAATAAAGCTATAAGGAACTTTTTGTTTATGAAAAATAACATCAAGAAATTATGGCATGCGAACATGTGCCGCACTTCGATAAACCCTTACGTTGACCACACATCCATATATGATTGTTTACGTGTGTTTGTATTAAAGAACGTAATAAAATTAGACTTGAGAAGGAGATATGTTCCTTCAATTCCATCATGGAATGCTTGACTATTTATGCCAAAAAAATTCCCAAAGTAAACTTTTTTTTAAATAAAAATCGTAATTGGTGTGCAATCGTAAAGCTTTCCTTATGCGTTCCTTCCATCATTTTTCTCACTTCTTTCCTTTTTTATTATGTTCACATAAAAAACTCATGGTTTTAAATCTTGTAAGATTTGCACTAAATAGGACTAAAACATAATGACTTTCCCAATGTAAGACTTAAACTTTTTTATTCCCTAAATAGGACGTAATAATGACCTAGTGGGAGGAATAATGTCCATTAATGATGGACATTTACTTGAATAATGACTATTTGATAATGACCAAAAGTCCTACATTGGGAAATAAAAACATATGATCCTATATTGGAAAAGTCATTATGTTTTAGTCATATTTACCTAAATTTCTCTTAAATCTTTACGTTATATCCTTAGCTTCTTTTAAGCTTTCCTTTATTTTTAAAAGAAATATTTGCACTAAATATCACTAAAACTTAAGTCATTTCCCTAAATAGCACTTAAACTGTTTTATTCCCTAAATAGCACTTAATAATATCCATAATATCCTGTAATGGTGAATATTTACTTGAATAATGACTAATGCATAATGACTAAAAGTGCTACATTAGGAAGAATAGAAATCATCCTAAATAGGACTAAAACATAGAGAAAAGTACCAAAATAGGACTTTCATGCACTGTGGTAATGTAACTTTGCATTGTGGTAATGTGGCAGTGTACATGTACAAATTACTATATACTTTCTTGGTAATGTATATGACAATGTTTGGTAATGTAAGTCGTATTTCGGAAATAAAAACATGGAAGTCCTATTTTGGTATATTTTCAATGTTTCAGTCCTACTTTGGTCTTTCTCCCTAGGAAGAAAAACACATGTGGTGCTATTTAGGGAAAGACATTATGTTTTAGTGCTATTGAAGTAAATTCCTCTTTTTAAAACGGTAATTTCCGTATGAATAAATACTGTTTTTTCTTGTTATCATGCACTAAAAAAATAACCTCCTTTTTTATATGCATAAATTTCCTTTTTATCACATATTAACATAATAATAATATAAAAATTCTATAATTTTTTTCTCAATTTTTTGCCCTTTTAATCTGTTTACAAAAAAACAAACGGTACGCTTTTAAATCTTTACGTTATATCATTCTTTAAAATACTAATTCGCGTAGGAATAGTTTACCTTTTTTAACGTACTAAAGTAATCACGGTTTTAAATCTTTACATTATATCCTTCTTTAAATCTTTCGTTCTTTTAAAATGGTAATTTGCATAGGAATAAAATACCTTTTAAAAATAATCACGTTCCATTTCTTTATGTTTGCCATTTTTAAAATAACCTCTTTTCTTGTATGAATAAATTTCCTTTTTTATCACATATTTAAAAAATAATAATGAAATCAAAATATAACGTAAATTTTTATTTCTCAATTTTTTTCCTTGTTAATCTGTTTACAAAAAAACACACGGTTGTAAATATTTACGTTATATCCTCCTTTAAAGCTTTCCTTTTTTTAAAATGCTAATTTTCATAGGAATAAATTACCTTTTTTTACACGGTTGTAAAAAAATAAAAAAATAAATCAATAACACCCTTTATGTTTCTAGAAAAAAACACACGGTTGTGAAAACATTCAATTCCTTCCTTTTTGGTCAGATTACAATGCATTCAGTTCGTATAATTGAATAAGTGAGAAGTTTCCTTTAATATATCCTTCTAAATTGGTAATAATACACAACCAATCATAACCGCAGATCTTCTTCGTACATTGATATCGACGGTGCAGGATTATATTGGAAAATAATTTCCTTGCTTTTAAGAATAGAGTGATTCGGTTACACCCTAAGAAAGGGGTAAATTAGGGCGTTTAAAATATTTTCGCAATGTAAAAATTTTAGACGAAAGTAAAAAGCGGAAAAAGAGAAAGGAAGATAAGGAAAGATAAAAAGCACGGAACAAACAATTTTATACCTTGGTGTAACGGTACCTTGTAACGGGACTTTGATACCGCCACAGGCACGACAAGCCTGTGGAAAAATTGCAGCCTTCAGTCAGACGGTCTATCACGACCGTGTCACGGTGCTCTGGTACCGCTACAGGCATGGCAAGACTGTGCGAAAAACACAGCCATCACTCCGATGGTAGCTGACTACCGTTTAACGGTAGGAACCTACTGTTACCGCTACTGCATGCCTGTCTAAGTAGAATTCCAAAATCTGATTTTGATCCTTTTTGTTTAAAAACTTTACAAATCATTTTTAAATAAAAGGTAAAGTATTTTGAGAGTATCTAATATGATAAATACACTTATCCTTGACATTCAAACTAGCCAAGCTTCGTTTTGAGCTTTTTGGACATGCTCAAACAACTCCCCTCTTTAAGTACTCCCCCCTAAAATAGTGCATACACGAAAGCCAAAACTTCTCCCCTTTTGGCAGCAACAAAAAGGGATGAGGGCAAGACACATAACCATAGATAAGCAACATGCATAATTCGAGTTCAAAGATTTTCATCACACACAAGTTCAACAACCAATTCATAAGAGTCGTACAAACCATGAGAATCATATATAAGTTGAAGAAAATGGAAAATTTACACTATTATCTAAGAAATACCTTCTCTCTTATGGTTTTCTTCATCCATTGATTTTCCTCGGGTTTGCATTAACATTTTTCCTTGTAATTTGGAAGTTACTGTTGAAGCATTGTTTGAACTCTCGTTCTATTACGCCCTTGTGATAGTTTTCAAATGCTTCCAAGATGTCACGACCTGCGAGTACGCCATTCATCCACCATTGGACACACTCAGAGCAACTTCTTCCATCTATCATTGATATACCTGCCGGCCTTACCATGGTTTGTAAGGTCTTCTCCATGGCGTCAACATTATTTCTAGGTATAAGATTATTTTTTCTAAGCATCTCTGATGTTGATCTGATTGATTGTAGATCCTTTAGAAGTTCTTGCTTGTGTCTCTTTTCATCTGTTAGTGTCAAGTTGAGCTCTTTCATCAGTTTCGTCTTTCCCGCTGGGTCTAGCCCTCTGCTCCATGGAGGTAGATTAGTCGAGGTGTATTTTTCTGGGTGCACCCACTGTCCTTGTCTTATTCCTCCTTGTGTTCGCCACTCTTCTTCTGTCTTTACGTCTGTCCAGTTTGGGTCTCCATACCCTTTATACGGATCTCGCTTCAGCAATTAATACGTCTTTGCTTGAGCTTGAGTGTACTCTTCGGTTCTAGACTGAGGAGTGAGCTCTTCCATTCTGGACTCTGGCTTGGGGATAGATGAAGAAGCATAATGTACTCCCTTGTCAATGTCCCCTCCTTTCATACAACTTCTATCTTTCTTGATGTGGTATTTTTTCCGCTTAGTGTAATATCTCTCCTCATTTCTAGCTTCGGCAATCTGTCGGAGGATGCAATATAAAGTGCTATGACTGACAGAGAGAATGTCTACCTGGGATGCAAGACCGGGCATGTCCTTTGTGTTCTCGAATGTTAAGCTTCCCATTTCCTTCACATTGACAAACTCCTCCCTGATCTTCTTCAATTCTCCGTTCACTTCTTCGAGATCAGGTGTAGTACCAAGGCATTGACCAGTAAAAACTTGTCGTTCTGATGACACTTTTTCGACACTTCCTAGAATATCTCTTAGACCTGATTGCAGCAGTTCTTTGTGCTTCTTCCCTCTCCATAATTGCCTTTTCCAACCTGTTGCATTGCTGTTCCATTTGTTCGGACAGTTCCATTTGCAGGGAATGTTTCATCTTGCTTGCAATTGAAACATTGTCCTCAGAAATATTCAGCTCCTCGTCATTTGGTTGAGCTTCATCTTGAATCGTTAGCTCATCATCTGGTTGAGCTTGTTTTGTTTCAGGAACACCTACCCTCTCCCCCTCTGGAGAATGTTTATCGACGATTTCATCATCTTCATCTTCAGATGCAATATTTGCGATTTCTTCCCGGACTTTGTTCTTTCCTTGTAGTTGTTTGAATTTTTGAGTGAAGGCATTCTCAATAAATTCAAGTTGAAGAGCTTTTCCAATATCAGCCGTGTCCAGCCAATGTAAAGCAAACACTTCTTCTTCTTCCATTTCATTCATCTTGGTACGGAGTGTTTGGAAGTCTGAGCATCTCCATGAATGCCAATTCAATACTCTAGCCTTTTCTTTTTCTAACATTTCTTCTGCAATTGCTTCAGACAAAGAGACATCAATCTCTACTATTGGTTCTCTCTGTGGTACATCATTGAGTTGCACCTCCAGAGGCATGTTAGCTTCTTCAATATGTGAAGTTTCCCTTCGGACTTCTTCTATTCGTGCACTTTCCACTTCTCGTGTGTTGCTGCACTCTTTTCCCTTTTCCATTTTATTCGCAAGTTTGGCAACAAGATCTTGCTTCAACCTTTTGATCAAGGGTTGGTTGTCTGAGTCAGACCCTTCATCAGTGAGTGGTGGTTCCTCAGAAGGCCTCTTCTGACTTTTCTTTGCCTTGGGAGCAGGAGCACACTTCTTGGAATTCTTTATGGCAGTTTTGAATAAATATGTGTGGAAGTGAATCTCAGTCCCAGTAGACATTTTTACATTCTTCTCTTTTAAGAGGTGGGCAACCATGAAACCATAGCCTACATTGTATCGCAACTCTTTGTCTCCGGACTTCACAGATGCCTTGTGGACAAAATGACATAGGCAGTTGTAAATATGGCGTGCCCAGTCACACTTGATATTGTTCATAATGGCACTTAGGAGTTTAATCTTGTCGGGAGTAACATCGTCAACTCCGGCCACTCTGCTCTCAAGACATTTATATATGATGTCTATTGCCCTTTCAAAAACAGGGTTTAGAAGATCCTTCTTCTTACCTCTGAAATTAATTTCATCAGCCTACTTCTCATTTTTTATTTCGGCCCAGAATGTTTCATGGTCGAAGGAGTGAGAAGTGAAGTCCTTCTCTGTGGCTTCTGGTAGGGCAAAGGCTACTCTGATATCGTTGGCTGTGATTGTAACTGGTTTCTCTCCGACCGTTGAAGAGATACAGTCGGCCTCTACCTTTGCATGAAGATACCATTCTAGAACTTCCTCCTTTTGTACACTACTGTAAGGAAAAGCAAGGAATTTCATTAAACCGCAGTCCTGGAATGCATCTATGATCTTTCTTGCAACATCTGAGTGCTGGTGTTGTTTGAGAAAGCCTTTAGGATCCAGAATGCATCCGGTTTTAATTCTGTCGGTGACTTTGTTCGGTCCTTTTGGTGCCATTTCCGGTATTTTTTTCTTCTGACAAATTAAAGATGAAAGGAAAAAAAATCAGTTTCTAAGATTGGAATTAGTTTATAAACAAGCACTATAGGGTATGTGCGATTGAGAAAGAAATTGAAACAAGTTAGTTGAAGATTCACTGACCATGAAGAAAGGCATTAGAAATATTTCTGGTTATAAACTTGCAACCAGCACTACTCACTTATTATCTGCTCAGGCACCTGACCATGAAGAAAGGCATTAGAAATATCTAGCTGATCGAGTGGCCAATCATGAGTCATAGCTAGGGCAAGAATCACACGTATAGTGTGTTGCTTGACGACAGGACTAAATGTTTCAGGATAGTCAAGTCCATACTCCTGAGTATATCCCTTATCGTCATGTAACAATTTAAGTCTTAAAATCATTCAAAAATATTACTTTTGACTTTGTGATGGGGAAAATAGTTTTCAGAAACAAATTTGAAACGAGGCATTGTTCCCCCAATCGAGAAAGAAAGAAAGAAAGAAAACACTGGAGCAGAGGAGACTAAAGCAGAAGCTGCATGTTGAAAGCAAATAAAAAGGACATGAAAAGAAGAATGGACGTTTAAAGCTTACACAAATCAATGACCTATATCAAGAAGGGGATAGCAATTTCAAAGCACCAACTATCAAACAATCTCTACAGTTTGAAGTGAATTATTCAAGGATTCAAACTTAAAATGCAAACAGGAATTCAATTTGAAGTTTGAATCAAACAAACACCAAAATAGGTAGCCCAAAATCTCGCTGGTCAAAAACATAAAGACATTCCAGTCAGCCAAAAACCATCACTCATTAAGCCCATTAATCCTGAACAACCATTAATCCTAATTGTGGTTTATGTTAGTGATTGTCTCATGGTGCATGTGTATTAAGTATATTATGTTGGTTGGTTGGTTGGTGTTTGCTTATAGGAAGATTTCTTTTTGTTTACACCTAGAAATTAAATGAATTCACTCGCAGTCCTAAGATTGAAGATGAAAGATGGATTAGGAAAAAGAACATAAAAATCCGGAAGCTCACCTAAGATTGAGGATGAAAGATGGATTAGGGCAAAGAGCCGCCGGAAGCTGAGTAGGGTCGTCTGAAATCCATCCCAGAAGATAAAATTCGAAAAGAGACCGAATAGATACATAGATAGCACCGCTAAGCTTTTCGGTTCGGGAGGGAGTCGCCAAAAGTGGGTAATTAAGAAGACGTAAAACAGTAAATTTCTTTACTTACTCCATGGTTCGGGTAGTGCTGGATAACCGAAGATTCGATTATCGTCCGGTAGTGGGCGTCCGCATTCGTATCCGCTTCTACGGGAAATGCCTGCATCCGTTGAACGGATACGGATTTGGTAATCATACATCTGTTCCGCTTATAATCAGCTTCGCTTACACATCCGTTTAAGTAACTGTTTATCCGTATATCCGATCCGTTTATAATCTGATCTGATTGGATATGATTAATTATGATTTGATTTAAAATTCTAATCAATAATTTTATTTGACTCTATAGTAACGTTTGAAAATTGTAATGATAATTGATATTATAATATAATCAATATTTTTTATTTGATGATTATGTTCTAATAAAATAAAAATTTGTTAATTCTTATATTAGAATAATCATTCATATTATACTGTAATAATATTTTTTTTGCTTTATGATTATATTTTTTTGTGAAATTAGAATATTAAAATAATATTTTAATAATTACTTCATATATACATTAAAATAAATATTTAATTTATATATACATTAAAAAGTAATTAAATTTAGATAATTATAATAAAGAAGAGATTATATTTTTATCAAAATATCTCATCCTTATAAAAGATTAAAACTTTAGAAGGTCAAATTACAAGTATCAATAAAAATGTATTTTGAAAGTAGAATTAGATTGACATTGTCAATGTATTTTAAAAATAATTTTTACGACGTATAATAATTAAGGATTACTTTCTCACTTTTCAATTTAACTTGTTTCTAAAGTTTATGCTTTTTCATTTTTAAGAATAATAATAATAATAATAATAATAATAATAATAATATTGAAAACATTAATCTTGTTTGAAAACAAAACAAAAGATTCGGTACTACGATTTTATAGGATTCTGTCTGATTGTTTATATTCCCCCTAAGTAAATTAAGTAGGAGATTAGATGAACTTCTTCCCGAGCTTAGACTCCATTTCGTTCAACTTTTTTTATTTGATCTGATTTTTTATAATTTTGATCTTATCTAATTGGATCCGATATGATCTGATTTGATTTGATTAATTATTATTTGATTTAAAATTCAAATCAATAATTCCCCTGACTTAATAACTTTTGAAAATTGTAATGATAATTCATATTATAATATAATCATTATTTTTTATTTTATTGAGGAGTGGTAACAAGTCCACTTTTTAGGATTTATGAGAAAGTTTACTTAAATTCAAGTTTCGATGGAGTTAGAAGCATTGACTCTTTGTGCGCATTAAATTGAAAATAGTATGAACATATACTACCTTGCAATACAGTTAATAACAATAAAAAAAGTAGGATATTACAATTTGTTAATTGCGATATAAAATTTTGCCTTTTTTAGAAAGAAGCAAATTTTTCTATAGATCTTAGAGCAGTGGTAATACATATTACGCCGAGCGGAGTTATGCCCCTTTTCACGCTTAGGGGGCGTTAAACTCCGCCTCTCTGGGGCTTCATCCCGGCGTTATTGCATCAACATTTTCTGTTAGTAATGTATTTTTTACCTTAGTTTTTTTATTAATGGAAGACAAAAAGAGATTAAAGCCAAATATAATTTACTTTAGTTTTTTTATCAATGTATTTTTTATTATTGTCACTTTCTTTTTTTTAATTTAATGAATGTAATTTTTTAAAATTATTTTCGCTTCAATTTCTTTTTATCTAATGAATGTATTTTTTTTAGTTATTCTTGTTTCAATATAATTAAATAATAAAATAATTAAATTAATTTAGTTTTAGAAGATGTGTATTTTAAAATGTAAAAAATGAAGGTTTGAAGCCCAGTTTGATGCCCTGGGGCTTCAAACCCAATTCCACTGAATCTGTGAGGTAAGTTAAAACTGACGTGACAGAGAGAGAAATTTTGAAGCCCCGGGGCTTAACGGGTATTTCCCATGCTTTTAGATCCACATTAATTTTATGAACCTTGGAGCATCTCTAATCTCTATTCTCTAGTGCAAAGGTACGTAGTGTAAATTTTAGATTAGGCTATTTGTGGAACAAAACTTGTATCCCAAATGCATGCATCAACATTTTCTGTTAGTGTGATGCTAATGTTGTAATTTACATGGACAAGAAATGTCAATAATTTTTTTAATTGAACTAATATTTTGTACCACGGATTCAGTGTTCGAATCCCACAGCCATTGAGTTTTTAAAATTTTCATATAAAAAAACAACGAGTTAAGCGTTAGGATAAGATGAAATAAACAATTAGTATTTGACATGTCTCGTATATAGTTTTAGACAGTTAAATCCGTGATAATCAATTTTAATTTTTGTGTGAAGGTCTCATCCAATTTTATTTGATATTGGTACGGTTTCAAGATAGAGTAAAAAACATTAATCCTGTTTGAAATTAACACAATAAATGATTCGCTATATGATTTTAAAAAATTCTAGAAAAAAAATAAAACAAATTGGTTAAACGTTAGGATAAAATGAAATAAAGAAATTGTGATTAGTTTGTAAGAGATGTGATTGGAATGAATTGTGTAGAAACAGAAGATGATGCATAGCTTACTTCAAAAATTAAAAAAAAAAAAAGATGCATAGCTAATGTAATACTCCGTATGTGTAAAAGAATGATAGTGACAGCCGTCCAATAGTTTGCATATCCAAACTAACACAAAACAAACTTCTAAAGGTAAAAGATAAGAATGAGTGACTACAAGAACAAGCAGGAGCAAGCTAAGTAACTGAGAATTACGTAGTATATCGTATCCGAAATGAAGATCTGATTGACTGTGTCTGTACAGGTATGTATGTATCCAGCTGCCAGTATTGAATCCAGAGAAGTATCACTTCATCATCCTCTTGATCACAACATTCTCAAAGATATGTGTCTGGCTACGAGTATCCATTCCACTCCTGGTGCAGAAGTCATGACACAGAAGTGCAGAAGGCATCGGCCTCTCGTTCGCGTTCCAGTTTAGACACTCGGCCACGGGCTCCTCGAATTCCCGGGGGAAATACCTTTCCTCTTCGTCGTCTTGCGGTCTTCCCCCCTCCCGGGAAGCCTTCTTGTCTTGTTTATTCCTCGAATCATCACCCCTAACGCTTCCCGGCTCGAGACTCTGACCCCCCCGTAAGCCAACTCAAGGGCCAGTATCCCCACCTGCCACACGTCCCCACTCTGAGNGTACAGCTCCGGTGCAGCTGCCCACTCCGAAATAAAGACCTCGGGCAGCATCCCAGAGGTCGAGCACTCCGGGTTCCCAACCCCATCCTCGTAGACCGTGACATCATATCCTAGGGTGACCCTTGGCCCCTTCATTACATACACATGTCCCGCATTAATGTCCCCGTGGATCCCGCAAGTCTTGTGCAGATGATCCAAGCCCCTCTAGTACGGTCCTTAGGACGAACACTATGCACGCCACGGGCAGCCCGTTGGGGAAATGATTCGCCATGACTTTCCTCATCGAGCCGTACTCTGCAAATTCCATCACAACACAGTAATCCTTGGGAAACATGTCTAGAAATTCTGACACCACTCTCACAAAAGTCTGGTGTGGGAATCGGCGCGCTGTTTTGATCGGCAGTGAATCGGGCATGTCATGGAGGAAAGGAATGATCTTGACAGAGCAGGGGTTCTCCTTGTAGACGAACACCGTCCCGTGCGGGCTGTCGAAGTCGAAGCAGTCCATGTAGGCTACCCTGTAGACGGGAAAATGACCGGGTAGTGACACTCCGATCTGATCCATCACCTGGTACACGATGCCCCCAACGGCGTCCACCAGGTACCGGCCCCGAGCATTCTCAAGAGGCAACAACTTTCTGCACGAAATGTAATACTCCGTAATCAGATTCAGAGAAGCCATCTTCTTAATGAATATATAAGATGGAGCCATATGATTCTCAGTACAATGAATGATTGAATGAAAGAAACTGAATATATATTATAAACTCTCACAAGTAGCCTAGACTCATTCATATAGTAATTAATGAGAATTTCCATCACTAATAAAGAACCAGAGGCGGCAAGATTGAATTTTTCCTAGGCAATCAAATCTAACTCCAATATATGCAGCAAACCGTACTAAAGTTTGTAGATTTGAATGCATTGAAGGGCAATTAAACCAATAATTGATCAGTTAATTACATACCCAATCTGAGGATTCAAATCTTCTAAGGGCCTGTTTGGGAATAGCTTTAGAGTTTAGCATTAGCGTTTTGGATAAAATTTTAACGGTGCAGATTACTTTGAAAACTCTAACGCTAAACGTTGTCCGTCTAAAGCTTTTTCAAAACACTAATGCTAATAGCTAACGCTATTCCGAAACATGCTCTAAGTTTCCAATCAGCTCCTCGAACTGTGACTTCAACTGGGACCTCTTCAGCCCTCTTTTGCAGAAGAAATCATGGTTCAGAAGGGCATCAACAGAAGGCCTTTCTTCAGGGTTCCATGCCAGGCATTGTGCCACGAATTCCCCAAACTCCATGGAAAACGAAGACCTTTCTTCTTCTTCTTCTGTGGTTGGAAGCCTTTTCGTGCGGGTAATCTTATGGATCATCCTTTCGAGTGCCCTGCGGTTGGGGACGGATAAATTTCCGCAGGCCAATTCAACAGCCGTGATTCCCACGAGCCAGATATCCGGAGTAGTTGTACCTGCGGCCGAATACCTCCGGGGCAGCTGCCCAGTTCGTAATCTTGGCCGCGGGCAGGGAAGAAGTAGACGGACCACACTCTGACCGGTGGTGGTGATCGTAGAGGGTGGCACTGAATCCCAACATGATCTGAGGCCCCCTCTTCAAGTAAATGTGCCCTGCCCTTTGACGTTTGTGTGGAGAACCCCATCGTGGTGGTGGAGGAACCGGAGGGCCTTGAGGACGCATCTCAGGGCCGGGATACGCAAATGCAGACCTCCGGAAGGCCCCGGGGGAACTTGGCGGCCATGGCGGACCGGAGAGAGCCGCCCTCGAAGAACGGTACGGCCATGCAGAGTTTGCCGGTGAAGGTCGCCTCCACAGGGGTCAGGCGTGGCATTATTCAAAAATTTGTAGTGATAATACTTTGGTGAGGTGGATTCTTTTTCAACATATTTTCAGTTAATTAGAGTTTGTATTCCTAGGGTATTTGTTTTCTTTTGAATGTTTTTTTAATCAAAATGAGTAGATTTTCACCACAAAATTTATAACATTCATTTTATAAAATAGTTTCAAAAATATTATTTTATTGAATTAATATAAAATATATATTTTATTTAATAATATGTCAAAAGTTGAAAATAATTAATTACAAAAAATTAAAAATTGGACAAATACTCAAGAACAGAAATACTAATTAAATGCGCCATCCATCCACAATTTTCTTTACTATTTTAACTTTACACATTTTTTGAAACCTAACAAACTAACGAAACTATAAAATTTATTTTAAATGTATCATATTGTTTATAAAAAATCTATATGTTGATATTATACCTTGACAAAATCAACGAATGGAAAAAAAAAATAAAAGTAAAGTTCAATCAAATTGCTAGGACATTAAAAATAAGTTGAAATAATTCAAGAAAAATATTAAAAATTGTTTTTTTGGGATTAAAAGCGAACCGGACTGGAATACAATAGTCCGAACTAGAGTTGTTAAGTTTGGGTTCTGGTTTTTTGGTAATTTACGTTACAATTTGTGCTCTGCTGCCCTACAAAGAGATGCAGGAGGAGTATGATTTTGTGCATGAGATACTTCCCAATTTCGTCGGCTCGAACAAGGGAATGTTTGTGGGGGAATACGAAAAAAAGATTGTTAAGGGGAATATGAAATAAATAAATTACCACTAACTTAAGTAATTAAAATATAAATAATAATACTATTTACCGGCCAAATATTAGACTCAACTCCAGGTTTATCACAAACTCAATAAGAGAAAAAAAGATTAGAAAAAGTACTAAAATTGTTAAGTATCTGTCAAGGAACCAACTCAACCAAAAGCTCAAGCTTGTGGTTGTCGCCCAGGAATAGTTATTTATATTCTAACACGCCCACTCACGTGCATGCGTAGTCTTTTTCGAGCCTTGCACGTGAAACTTTAATTTTTTTTAAACTGGGTGGCACTGAGTTTCGAACACATTACCTCTTAGTCAACGAGGCTCTGATACCATGTCAATGAATCAATTCAACCAAAAGCTCAAGCTTGTGGTTGTGGCCCAGAAACAGTTATTTATATTCTAACAATATGTATATATTATTATTATTAATTATTATTTTTATACCAACTTTTTAAATAAATTAATTTTAAGAGTTGTGCTTCTATGATCTGAAAGTCCAGATAAAAAAATATAGACTTTCTTACACTTTTATGGGCCTAAATGTAGATCTTTTCTTTTTAATTTATAAAAATATTATTCTTTTATATTGTTTATGTACTAAGAGCAACTCCAATGGATATGTTATATGCTAAAATTTACACAAAATAAATTTATGGTTGATTTTTTGACACCCCAAGGGAGAGGGTAAAACAAGTGCTAAAATATAATATAGGGTAAAAAGAATTTGCTAAAGTGTGTTGTAACAAGTTGACTCTAGATAGCTAGTGAAAAGAATAAAAATGTATTATATACAAAATATGGTTAGAGTAGATATAAAAAAGTGAAAGTGTAAAATACTGTTGCTGCTGTAAAATAAAACAACCATGCTAGGAGTACACCAAAAAGTATACCCCAGGTTGCATCTCAAAGAAATGCACTGACATTTTAATGGTTCACACTGGCTCAAAATGTTAGTTCAACTAAAAATTTTACATTCGTCCCTATTATATCCCAAAATAAAGTGAAAGATTAAAATTTTACAAAATATTATCACGTTGTCCTGATGCGAAATATCTCAAGTCTCGTGAAATGTGCGGGATTGAAATCTACTTTAAATAGAGAGAATTACATTATGTCCATATTTTTTTATTTAGCAATGCTAAGAGTACACCAAAATGGGGTACCTCATTGTGTACACTAAGCAAAAATAGACACACACTCTGTCTCTGCGTGTGTGTCTATTTTTGCTTGGTGTACAAATTGAATATCGTATTTAGTAATACTGAATTTTATTTCTTCAAAGGAAAAGTGTATAAATGTAAAATTGTTTTTTTTTAATATTATTTTTCCTTATTTTAAACATCGAGTAGAACAAAACTTAAAGTTGGTTTATAAACAAGAAATATAGGCTAATCATGATCGAACTCAACACATCCTCATTTGTAAGTGTTGTGCTCAGGACATTAGGTTAGGTTGTGAGGAGGTAGATAATTATAGTCTCAGTAATTAGTACGGAGTATTTAGTATTTACACCATGGAGTATTTGCATGTCCAGTTCTAACTTGTACAGTCAACTAAGTTCGACCTTTGACCTAAAATTAAATAAAACTTGACATTCAAACTAGCCAAGCTTCGTTTTGAGCTTTTTGGACATGCTCAAACAACTCCCCTCTTTAAGTACTCCCCCCTAAAGTAGTGCATACACGAAGGGATGAGGGCAAGACACATAGCCATAGATAACCAACATGCATAATTCGAGTTTAAAGATGTCCATCACACACAAGTTCAACAACCAATTCATAATAGTCATACTGATACGCACGAGGGGGGGAAGTTGTCCGTCCGAGTCCCTGCGCAGCCGGCTTCTACGGCAGCTTGGGGGTGAAACGGCAGTAGGGTTCGGGTTTGAGAGGGGAAAGAGAGAAGAGAGTTTCTAGGAGAGAGGATTAGGTATTTTTATTCCATGCCTTTTGGTGGGTTTCGTACATGCTTCTTATATAGGTGTGTCCTCCTCTAACCCTAAAAATAAAAGGAAAAGAAAAGAAACTAACCTGTCGGTTCAATAAAAGCGTCAAGGGAAAGAACCGAAAAGAAAACCCTTGAAGGGGCTTATAGTTCGGCGGCTTAAGGTGGTCAGCTTCGTACAGTGGTCGGCGGACTTCAACGATGGCAATCGGCTGAGTGCAAACGGCGGCGGGCTGTGGCCTCTGCGGTGTATTAGCTGTTTAGGGATTTGCTGAAATTAAATATGTAGGGACGATTACAGAAATTAAATGAGTTGAAATAAATACCTCCAGAGGGAGAGAGACGATTGCAGTGATTGACGAGAATAGGATGCTCAGCGACGACAAACATCAGTGGCTGATTCTGGACGACGACTGATGCCCGTGGCTGACGCGGGAAGATTGGGGCGCGGGGCAAGGCCAAGAGCAGACGACTAACGAGAGTTGAGACTTGAGAGAGAGAAAATTGTTTAGAGAAATTTACCATGTTTTTATTTCCAATGTATGACTTTTGGTCATTAACAAGTATTCAAGTAAATGTCCATCATTACTGGACATTATTCTTACTACTAGGTCATTATTAAGTCATATTTAGGGAATAAAAAAGTTTAAGTCCTACAATAACAAAGTCATTATGTTTTAGTCCTATTTAATGCAAATTTTACAATTGTTTATGGATTTGTATTAATTCACCAAGGGTCCCATGACATTGGTCCCGGGGTGCTCTGGTGCCCCGTTCGTAAAATTGACGGTTCCTACCTCCCTTAACCCCCCCGGTAAACCTCCACATCCCACCCCGACCCGAACACCTTCCCCACACCCCCTCCAATTGCACATCACAAGTTGATTTTGACTTTGGAATCAAATTTTGACTCTAAAGTTAAAATCAACTTCTGAGCGACCGACGATAGGAACCTGGCGATAGCGATAAAATGAAAGGGACAAGACTACGAGGGTCAGGTGACGTCCGCTAGGCGACGAACCTTGTTCAGAGGGTTTGACCAATTGTATTGTATACCCTATAAAAGGGCTGAGATCTCTCATTGTAGAGGATGCAAATTCTTGAGTGAAAATACTCTTACTTTACATTCTCTCTCTCTAAAGTTTATATAATTTAATATCTTCGGTGGTTTATAGCCATCAACTTGGTGCTCTCATGGAGAGAAGAGAAACATACTAGTAGGTTTACTCCCGGAAGTGAGAATGGTGCAAACAAGGAGTAACATCCCCACCACCAACCACGTCATCGGCGAAGAGAACGGCCCGGGCAACGGGAACGGCACAGGAGGGATTACCGCGGCTGCCAATGCAGTCCAGGCACTGTTCGGTATGGGGGTGACCGCGGAGAAACTCCAGGCTGCTGTAGCGGCCCTCTCTGCCATCGGCGAGAGTGAACCCGGCACCGGAGCTACCCAAGGCCCCGCACGGACCGAATACTGAGCACGCTGCCACTTCCTAGCACAAGGGGAAGAAGACCTGAAGGAGCAGGAGGAGGCCCGACAAGGCTCTGATGATTGACGATGTGCTGGTGGAGGACATTCCGGAAGGGGAGGACGATGAGTCCAGCGAGTGCCGAGTATCGGCCTTCAAACGCATGTGGGGCGAGGAGACTCGCGTGTCGGCTTTCGAAGGGCTCAACCGCGGACAAGAAGGCCGCCCAGGTGACCTCCGCCGACAGATTTTTGAGGGCAGGCACAGGCATGCCGAGGAGTCAGCCACCTCGTACGCACGCTCGGCGAGGCCCGAGCGCACCGATGGCCTTTGAGATGAGCGGACTCAGCGTCGCCAGAGCCCCACAAGAATGGAGAAGACAAAAGTCTCCGATCAGGGTATGTCTCGTCTCGCACGCGAGATTGCCGAGCTCATGCGCCGAGTAGAGACAAGGACACCCTACAGCCAAACCATCCTGCGAACTGTGACCCCGTTCACTCCGAGGGTTATGTCGGTTTCGCTGCCAGCGAACTTTCGGCCATGGCAAATTAAGGCCTACAGTGGAACGACGGACCCCCAAGATCATCTCCCTAAGTTCTACGCCTCAATGAAGGCGGTGGCAGCCCCGGACGAGGTCAAGTGCCGATGTTTCCTCACCTCCCGAAAGGGACCATTGATGATTGAGACACGTTGGCGGAGAAGTTCTTGACGCACTTTGCAGCCAACAAAATGCAGAGGCTACCCTACTCCCACCTCTTAAACTTCTGCATCCGCAAAGGGGAGAAGGTCCGAGACTTTTAGTTCGGTAGGAAAAGGAAGCCAGAGACGTGCATGGGGCGGATGATCAGGCTTTAGTGGCGATGTTCCAAGCAGCCCTTCCCCGAGGAGAAGTGAGGAAGGAGCTCCGCTAGAATCCTCCCCCCACGTACCAGGAAACCTTGGCTCTCGGCGGAGTTCGATGATGCTCCAGACTCCGAGGATGCGCCGGCCAAGCGAGCCCCCGTGGACTCAGAAGAGATCGCGAAGAAAAGGAAGAAGAAACTAAAAAAGATTACACTGCTGGCCCTAGGATGCCTTTGGCTGGAGTATACTCCGTAGGGGCACCTGTAGGGACGGGTCGAGAGCTGGCCCTCTCCCGCTCCCTCACATGGAGACCTATGCGGTGTCTGGCAGCAGCAAGTACTGTGAATACCATCGCAACAACACACCTAACACCAAGGAATGCTTCACTCTTTATAAGAAGATTCAACGACTAATCGCCCGAGGGCCAGCTCTGCAAATGACGAAGCAGCCCCATCGCGGGGGCGCCGGAAGGAAGAACTTGGAGGAAGCCAATTGAGCCGGTCGCGGTGGCCACCCAAACAAGAAATCCCGAGAAGAGGCACATCGGGCGGGAGTGCGATGACCTGGACGACGACGAAGCCCAAGGATATAGGGGTCAGTTCCTGTGAGAATGCACCTTGTGGAGAGAAATGAGAATAAAATCTAACCGTTGAATCTGATGTATCGTGCGGCTCAGATTGCATCCTGCGCTCAGTTTTTGATATAGTGCATTTTCAAAGGATTTTGGTGCATTTCGACGTGATGCATTTTTAAACCATTTTGGTGCATCTGATTTTGATGCAATCCTGACCCTTAGATCTCATAATCTAAAGCATCAGATTCATTCTCATTTCTCTCCTAAGATCGCATTCTCACCAATATATATATATATATATATATATATATATATATATATATATATATATATATATATATATATATATATATACTCCAAGTCAAAATTAACTTCGGAGATGCAATTGAAGGGGGTGGGGAGGTTTGTTTAGGCTGGGTGGGGGGTTTTGCCAGGGGCTTAGGGGGTAGGAACTGTAAATTTTACGAATGGGGTACTGGAGCACTCCTGGGTCATCCCATGACATTAACCAATGTCATGGGAACTGGCCTCATATATTATTTTTATACTAATTTTTGAACAAAATAATTTTGAAAGTAATAAAATTTTATACATCATTTGAATAGTGTAACTACTTTGAAAAGGCGAAGAGAGGAATAGAGTATTTAATACTCTTGGAAAATTTCTTTAGTTGACAATGACAACTTTGAAAAATACTGTAATCCGTAGTTAATGTTTATATGATTTTCTTTTCTTTTCCACGACTTGAGACTACAGCCTTACCTAAAGCGATGGAGATTGGATAAACTGTTTCCAAATCTAAAAGCCCATTGAACTTCTACGACAAGGTAAGAAATAATGGATGACCAAACATCAAATCATCGGGTCAACTCACTTCACGTCACGTTAGTTTTTTTTCGTTTTCATTGTAGATCGTTACACTACATGGATATGGATCACGCGCCTCACACCCATTTCTTTTTAAATTTTTGAAAACATATTCAAATGAAATCAACTTAAAATAAAAATAATAAATAAATATTTCAATAAAATATAAAATAAAAATTACATTGATATAATGCAAAAAAAATATAACCCAAAAAAATTAAATAGAATTCAAAATAAATTTAAAAGTAGAAGAGAAAAGAAAAGAAGAAGAAATTAGAGAGTAAAGGAGCAAAACTAAAAAAGGAGGGAAAATGTTGATATCACCGCGATATGCATCGCCACCTTCACGCCAATTGAGGCTGCTGCCACCTCACTCTACCACGGCTCTCACACCGTTTGGTCTAATTAAAACCCTTTTTTACTCCAAAACGAAATATAATTCAAAGAATTAAGTTTAGCGTCTAGATTTAAACATTTTAAAAAGTTATCCAACAATAATTTTTAACTTAAGCATCTTGAGTTAGTTTGCACAATTTGAAAAACTATTCAAAACTCAAACGCTAATCCCAAAAGGACCCATAATATTAGAAGCAAGAAAGGTAAAGAATTGAATGGAGCAAAAGTTTTATTAGATGGGATAATAATACTTTCCCAATTGTAGAAGTCATATCATACCTTGCAAGATTTTAGTATCTTCCTATGTTTCATCTCAACTGCTTCTTTTAATATCATTATAATGCTACCATTTATATCTTGAAAAAGTATTTATCAAACCATACATATATTGTATATATCCCATCTTAACAAGGTGCTGCAACTACACATTCATTATTTATATATAGACTTAAAGTTACATTATTAAGCTAATGCCATGAGCCATTCTGTACATCATCTTGTACCTGCACTAGAGAACGGCCGTACGGGTTCTTGACCCGCGATGGAATGTTGATCCACTGCAACTGGAGCTCCAATTCCCCGCACTCAACGTTCCGCAACCTCAAAACCATGTTCTGGACAACCTTGTCATTTTCCCAGACAATGTTGCTTTCCTCGGCCAGACAATTCTCCCTGCTCGGTTTGATCTTGGTGATTATGGTCCCACTGGGGACATCTTGGAAGTGCATCCGTGCAGCTTCTACGTATGTCGCGATGTCGAATTCTGCGTCCCCCATTTTGTCATCGCAACTGAATAGATCCTTGTCGAACACTTGCTGCAATCAACATCATATTGAGTACTTGATAAGAACCATATCATCAATTTTATGTACTCATTAATGAAACTATGGAGAGATCATGAAGAATAATATAGTGAATCATCAATTGCCTATCATTAAAAGAGTTTTTGCTTTGCTTAGAATTTGCACAAGGATAAAATATTCCAAATGGTACATCCTTAGTCTGTACATTTTTCTTTTGTGGGAGGATTTAACATCCTTGATCACTTGGGGTAAGGTGTGCGTACAAATACCCTCCCAAGATCCTAATTTTTTTGTAGGGATTTTACTTGGCTTCTTGTTGGTGTTTCAGTTGCCAGCCATTATTTCTCCTAAGCCACCTATTGTTGTAATTTGTAAAGAACCCTTCGTAAGGGTATACTAATCCATGCCTAGGCATTGGGTTCTCATTTGGGGAAATGGGGGCTTTGGTATTACTCTAATTCAACTCAAACTCCAACTAACCCTGGTTAATCCCTAACGCCACAATCTACTGTTCTGTTGACAGTTTTGGAAACACATGTTCTAGAACTTCGTCAAAAGCGTGATGAACGTTTGACTCTTAAGAGTATGAAACTTTGTATTAAAAAAAAGGGAGAAAGACCAAAGTAGGACTAAAACATTGAAAATATACCAAAATAGGACTTCCATGTTTTTATTCCCGAAATAGGACTTACATTACCAAACATGGTCATATACATTACCAAAAAAGTATAGTAATTTGCACATGTACACTGTCACATTACCACAATGCAAAGTCACATTACCACAGTGCAAAGTCCTATTCCGGAAAAAAAAACATGAAAGTCTTATTTTGGTACCTTTCTCTATGTTTTAGTCCTATTTAGGATGATTTCTATAAAAAAACATATGCGAACAATTCAAAAAGTTTCATAAATATACGAATGCTACACATAGCACTGTGATCATAAACTATGGTATAAGAGAATAAGAACTGCAAGTAAACTCATAGATTAACTACGGAGTATTTTTTTTTGTTGGTCTCAAAAAATGTGCTTTTCTCTCGTCAGCATAAATGTATACAACACAAATTCACTTCAATTCTTTAGAACTGCGTCACGTCAAACTTGGAATGTTTTATGGAAAAATAAGTGTTTGTTTCGCAAGTGGCAACAAATTCAGCATTTAGAAAACTTTATCTAATAGCATCATTTAGTTTTAGTGTTTTCTAAAATCTAAATCAATCTTGACCATTAAAAAATTATACAAAACACTAACTAAAAGGTGAAAATGATGTTCCCAAACAACTTCAAAGACATCCATATGTTGCAGACAGAACATCACAAAATACTCCTTGACACAAAGAATGAACGTGAGGGGCTTACCAGCTTGACAGGAAGATTTGGGTCTGAAATAGACAACGTCAAATCTTCGTTCCACTCTGGATTGACATTCTTCTTCACCACACTGGTCTTTAGCTTCTGTAACACAGCAAAACAGTACCAAAAACATTACCAAATGTACCAATTCTCAACAAAGCCACCAAATCCATAACATTTATAATAACAATAATACTAATAAACAAATGATTTAATTCTTCATAAAAATATTACGAGCCTAAACAGGATAGGTTTTCAAAATTTGTTGATGACTTAGATTCCCAGAGGCGTTTGTCTGTGATTATAATATGGGGAAAACCCAATGCAAAAAAAACCTGTCAAAGTTGTTTCAAAAGCTGAAAATCAGACGCACAAGAACATTTGGTGCAAAACCTAGAAACGGACAACACAAAATCCAGGCAAAGGGCAAAGGAAATCAAACAGAGAATCGTGTTTGGAATTGATGTAGTGTTTATTTACCTGTTTGCCCATGCGAACAATAACGTACGGATCGCTACTCCGGACATCACGAACGGCCAAGTTGACTCCTCGGAGCACGCGAATTCTCAGAAGTCCCAGCAAGTTCTCCATGGAAACGGGGCTCCTCTGCTTCATCTTCGCCAGTTCTGCCCGATTATTGAATGTATTTATAATGATGTCGATTAACGTTGTCTGTCCGGTACACGAACTGAAGCTTCGAGAGGGATGGCAATTGATCAACGTAAGTACGAGATTAGCGAGGATTTATAGCTCGAGACCACGCTGCTTGCAAAGGTTTTTTAAGCATTTATTAAGCCTAACCCGAGTGGAGTGGTACTAAACCCCCGCTAATCACCAGCTAGAAAGGGGTCCACATTGCGCGTTTCTCTCATAGTTTATTGGTGTAAATTTGTAGAGGGATTGCATTTTGTGCTCAAAGTAAAATTGAAAATGAGTTGAAAGGAGGTGGAAATGAAAAAGTTGTCTCGAGAAGTATGATGGAAGGAAGGAATCATATTTACGAAGAATTTACATTTTGAACCAAAACTTGGACCAGTGACTGGGTCAAAAGCTTATTGGTCAAACCGGTCGGCTCGGAAGTCAACGACACGGTCAAATATATTAAAAATAATAATATTTTATATTATATTATTAGATATTTTTAGTAAATAAAAATATTTTAACTTATGTTTTTCCCTTTCCGGAAAAAACTTTTATTTTTTACTTTTTCATCTAGTTTAAAAAATCATTGTGCATATACTATTTCACAATTTCTATTTTATTCTATTATTTTTGTTATATTCTACTACATCCGTCCAATTTTAAATTGTTTGTTTACCTTTTTTCTCCGTCCCAAAATAAGTTGCATGTTAGTTGTTTTTGTAAACTTTTAAAAATAAAATAACTAAACTACCTCTAAAATAAATCAATCTTCTGCACATTATATTCTCATTCATCATAATTCCTTCTAAAAAGTATTAACAATTTTGAAAAATCAACTCTACTTTTAATTTTTTCTTAAATATGCCCAAAAGTTAAAACGGACGATTTAAAACGGGACGGAGGGAGTATTATTTTTGATATTATAAAAAGTCACGAGTAATAGTGAATGTCTAACAAATACACTCAAATAATAAACCAATGCTCATTTTTCAAAAAAGTATGAATTTTTAGATAAAAATATTTTTAAAAAATTAAAATACTTAATTTTAGATAAAAATAAATAATGCCAAATATAAGTTTTCAAATTTGTGATTTTTCTCTATTTCTATTTCTGTTATAATCAATAGATATTTCTTGATTTTTATAAATGATAACGTTTTTTAGATATAAAGTATTCATTATTATTTTAATATAAAAAATAAATAATCTTTATTTTTGCCTTGAATGACTTTAAAAGTACAAAATGACGACAAAAAAATTTAGAAGTATAATATAAGTGCACCACACCAAAATGTTCACTTTTACAAATAGTTAGAAGTTTTTTATTTAAATTTACACACTTCATTTATCATAAAAACTATATGTATTGCTTTTCATAGCATTAGTAACAAGTTCTTTAATAGCTTAAGTGGTTAGACTATTCAATTCCTATGGGCTAATTCTTGCTCTTGTTATTTTATTAGTAGAAAAAGAAAAAAATCTAAACCTAAGACTCGGGTTGACACGGTTCCCTAATTCCGCCAGGTCAGGCGGGTTCGAACGAGCTAATGAAAAACTGGGTTTTATAGATGAATCAGACCGGAATACCTCCAGGTTCACGGTTTGACAGGTTGGTCTGGTCTGGTTCTAATAACACTGGTTCATAGTGAATTTCAATTTTTTTGTTATTTTATTTTACTAGTAGAAAAAGAAAAAATCTAAACTCAAGACCCAGACGGGTCGACCCGATTTGCCATTTCCGCCGGGTCAAGCTGGTTCGGACATGCTAATGGAAAACAGGGTTTTATAGTTGAACCGAACCGGAATACCTCCCGATTTGTGGTTCGACCGGCCGGTCTGGTCCAGCTCTAACAACACTGGTTAATAGTGAATTTGTTGTTGAACAGAAGAGATACAGTTATAATGGATGTGTTAACAAATAATTTTGAAATAACAAACTATTATTCTGGATTTATATTTTATGTAGAATAATACGATATCAAGATTTTTAATATTCAGGAAAAATAGAAACTCAGTTTGAAATATTGAGAAAGGTCTTGAGTTCAATTATTACTCTTTTTATTTTATTTTATTAGCAGAAAAAGAAAAAATCTAAACCCAAGACCCGAACGGGTCGACCCGGTTTTCCGGTTCCGTCGGGTTAGGCAGGTTCGAACAGGCTAATTGAAAACATGGTTTTATAGTTGAACCGGAAGAGAACACCTCCCGATTCGCGGGTCAACCGGTTCGACCGTCCGATCCGATCTGATTCTAATAACACTGGTTAATAGTGAATTTGTTGTTGAACAGAAGAGATACAGTTATAATGGATGTGTTAACAAATAATTTTGAAATAACAAACTATTATTCTGNTTACTCTTTTTATTTTATTTTATTAGCAGAAAAAGAAAAAATCTAAACCCAAGACCCGAACGGGTCGACCCGGTTTTCCGGTTCCGTCGGGTTAGGCAGGTTCGAACAGGCTAATTGAAAACATGGTTTTATAGTTGAACCGGAAGAGAACACCTCCCGATTCGCGGGTCAACCGGTTCGACCGTCCGATCCGATCTGATTCTAATAACACTGGTTAATAGTGAATTTGTTGTTGAACGGAAGAGATACGCTTATAATGGAGGAGTTAATGAATAATTTTGAAATAAGAAACTATTATTCTAGATTTATAGTTTATTTAGAATATTACAATATCAAGATTTTTAATATATGGGAAAAATAGAAACTCAATTTGAAATATTGAGAGCTATGAAAAAAATAAAAAAGTTCATCGGAGTTGGGGGTAACTAATGCAGGTGGCTTCTGGGCCGTCGAGACTTTCTGGACTACTGGCCAGAAGATAAGATCGCCTAAAATATAAAATGAAGGAAAATAAAGTCACGGAAGCTTTAATAGCACTCACCTAGTGCATTGACGTTTCGTACGGGTGTTCGCTTCCCTTTGACGATAAAATCGCAATATTATACGTGTACACAATACAAAATTATGATGCACCGGCAAATGAGAATGACATTAGAAAGTTTGTCAACTAGAAAACTTTAAAAAGAGATCATTAGAAAATTTTGAACTCTCTACAAGCTCTGACTACATGAGTAATAGCGGTTGTCAAGGGTTACACTTCCGTCGGTCAAGATATGCGATGGATCAGAATGATATCGTTTCAACATTGACACATGGAATACATCGTAAATTTTGTTCAGTTCGGGTCGAGAGTTCTAACCGATAGGCCACTAGACCCGCCCGTTCAGTGATTCAGTATGGTCCAATATACCTTGGACTCAGATTTCCCTTCATACCAAACAGTAATACTTTCTTTCACGGTAAAACTTTCAGAAGTACTTTGTCGTCAACATTGTATTCTAAATTTTGTGGCATGCAATTGGAGGGACTGGGGGATCGGTTTGGGTCGGGCTGGGGTAAGGGGGTTTACAGAGGGGTAAGGATAATCAATTTTTGAAATGAAGCACCGTAGATGCTCTAATCGAGGCCCATGTTATAGGATGACATGGAGCATTGATGTCACTCGAACCTTCCCTTGTTAAAATTATTAAAATATACGTGAGTCTGGTTAATCATTTTTTAGAAATAGAATAATGTTAGGGTGCCAATACATGTGTGCTTTCATACATGTGTACTACTATGGGTGCATCTATATTTTGCACAAACAAACACAGACGATAATATCTGTGTTGCAGAGACAAATAACGTCTGTGTTTTTCTGTGCGAAGCATAGATGCAGTTGCACTCATGTGGTAACACCCTAGCATGACCCTTAAATAACCATACTAATGGTACACCAAGAAATGTACTCCAAAGAAATACACCAGCACTCTTACGGTTCATATTGATATAAAATGTTAGTTCCCATTTGGTACACGAAATTCAAACTATGGAATTGAGATTGAGGACTTCATTTTCAATTCTGGTGTTTGGTAGCACGAAAACTATGTGGATTTGAAATTGATAGTGTAAAAAAAGAATTGGAATCGGTAGAAATCAATTACATGGAATTAAATCTTATGAAATTTTAATTCCAATTGAATTCCAATTCCGTACACCATACGGACCCTTAGTGTAATCAAAAAAATTTCCACTGATATTTTTTGTCATTGTAAACTATTAACTTAGCATAAAATATTAGTGCATACTTTTAGGTTACAAAATACGGCATAATTTGTAGAGTACAAATAACTTAATTTTTAAAACTCAGTGTCACCAATTGATTGTTCCACAAGCATTTTTGAGAAAAAAAATACGGAGTAGTATTTCCTATTATTGTGGACTAAAAAAAACTCGTCGGGCACACTTTCCAATTTTCCCAACTGATTGTACTGCCGGATTTCACTATTTCTATCCTACCTTGTTAATTTTCCGGGTTATTTTCCAGCTCCGCTCTAACTACAAGTTGTTCTCTGGAGCGTAGAGTTTGAGGGCAACCTGTTTGATTTTTTGCCTGAAAGAGAAACTATTGTTATTGCTCCGTATTTGTTTTGTTTCTGGCTTTTGCTGTGGAGCCTCGCAACTATGGAGTGTGCTGTGATTCATTCGCTGGGACAAACAAGCAGCTTAACCTGGTATTCTTTGTATCCCATTGAATTACATTTCGGTTCCCCGAGGTAGCCATATACTGTGAATCATAATTAGGCATTGCCTCGCTTTTGATTATAATAACTTTGTGGTCAATTTGCTGAAATGTATGGAAAATGGAAAGCTTCAAGATGGAGAATGGTAATAGAGTTCAGGGGAGGATTCGTTCCGCAAGTATAAAGATGGGTTTGAGGAAGGGGGCGGTCGCTTTGCGTCATCAAGCATACATGAGGAAACATGTTCCACAGCGTCCCTCTGGGGAGACACATTGTAGCCCTATCAGTCTGGAGGAGGAATTTTCAGCTGTGCAATCCCGGGACATTACGAGGCTTGATGAGCCCGATGTTGAATCTTCAGATGTTGATGATGATCTTGGCAGGCCTTTGAGTTCTGAGGAGGTAAATCATTGATCCATACTTGGTGGTGATCCATACTGTTCTTCGGGCTTATTTGTTACTACTAAGTATTGGTTTAATATTTTTGTCTAACTAAAAACAAGACCATGAAAAATCAGAATGGTTGACTTCAGTGTTTTGGTAATTTTCAAAAAATAGTAATGTATTCAGTATTCACCAATGCAATGCACCCCGACCGGAGTAACATAGGACCATTCGTTCCAATGCCAAAACAAGGTCGGTTTTTATATTTGCGTTTCATCCTAGGGTGGGTCTAGGGAGTCTCACAGGTCACCCGGGCTGATTTATACAACACTGCATTTAGGTAATGTGGTTGTTAGTATTTACTTCAAAAAATTGAGATGGTCAATGGCATTTATTTCATGGTTGTATAGTATAAAAGTTGATGCATTAAGGGTCAAAGTGAAACAACCTCTATGTTTTTTTACAGAGGTAAGGTTGCGTACATTATGTGCCCCAGACCCCGACGGAGTTGGGATTATACTGGGTTTGTTGCAGCATAGTGTAGAACTTATAAGTTGTGTTTTTTTTGTTTATTTGGTTAAGCCACTTATCGAACATTTCGATCTTGAGAAAATGCTTGGTTTTTAATGAAGACTGCTTTTGAAGAGAAAAGGAAGAACGAACTAGTGCAAAAGTTGTTGAAAGTTCAGAGATTTATTTGGTTCATACTCAAATAATATCATAGAGTGGTTCTTTCAAAAACAATTTATGGAGTGGTGATATTTTGATTACTAGAGCTAATATTCTGGAAATCTTGAACAGTTAAAGGTGCTGCTAACTGATTCTGAAAGATTAAATATCCTCAAGAAATTGAGCGAAGCCAATCAACATAATCGGTTCCTAAAACGCCAGGTCTTCCCTTTGTTATCTCCCGAAAAGGCAATCTGATTTTTCATATGTTATTCAGTTATTGTATTAATGTTTTTTTAAGACTACAATGTAACATGATGCAATAACTGTCGGACTTGAGAACAATTTGTGCTAAAATACTGCAGTTGCAAGCAAGGGAGGAAGAAATGGTTGATTTCAGGAGTGAATTGTCTGCCATTGAACTTGATATTGAGGTATTCATGCGTTTCTTGTTAAGGTTTTTGATCCACATGATTCTTGTTAAAACAGGACGGAAATATTTGGTAGGATATAAGGGTGTAAATGGCTAAGAGACGGATATCACTGCTAGTCACATGAATTTTCACATTTTCCTAAAAGTTTACTATCTATCCTTATTATTGATTGATAGTAACCGGGTTGCAAGATATAACTTTTTAGATAAAAAGGTGTGGTTACAAAATTACAACAAACACGTGAATTTACAAGATATACTCTTTTGAAAGACAAGAGAGTGAAGGATTTTTTCTCCCACCATCGTCCAAAATCAAATGCCCGTTTGTAGTAAAAAATTCCAAAGAACATATTTGTTCTTTAAAAACAATAAAGCATATTTGTTCGTTTATCTTTTTTAATTTCTAAAACACTTCAACTAAAAGTTCCCCGCACATTACAACAACAACAACAACTAAAAGTTCCCCGCACATTAATATAATAATAATAATAATAATAATAATAATAATAATAATAATAATTGTATTCGTCCTTTAATATTACTTTAATGCAAGTCCACAACACCCAATAAAATATTGTTAGTAAAGATCATGTTTAACACTTTAGCAATATTTCTCAATAAATATCCAACAATTATTCACTTTGGAATTTTGCATGCATTTGATCCAGTTTTCAATGACATAGACCCTTGTATAATTCTTCTACCATACATCTCATTGTGTTTGTGCCAAAAAACATATCATTTATAGTTTCTTATTCATGCTTTACATAGTACTCATGCTTAAAGGCTAGTTTGGAAAGTACTACATGCCTCCATTTGATTCTAAAGGTCACTTAATAAAATAAAATATGTTTCTTTCTATATATGATTTTTGGAATACCAAGAAAATCAACAATCTTTTCTCCTAATTTTCCATGTCTTTACTTTGGGGGATAACTAAGTAAATGCTTCCAACCTTCTTTTAAAGGGTTGTAATATGGTAATTTTGTATCAATATTTATACCTAATAAATGAGTCTTAATTAATATACCTAAACCGTAAACGACCAGGATACCTAAAGTGAAGGAGTATGACCTTTTTTGCGACAATATGAGGACGTTATTTTAATACATCAACATTTCAAGTGTGTGAAGATCATTTATTTGAAGGCTAGAAAGAGGAAAAAGTTAAGTCTTGCACAGAGTTTAGATGTCAGTGCATCAATGAATGTCTTGGTCTCTTTCGGTAGGCTTTGGTCAGTTTGGCAGAAGAAGTTGCAAGATCTAACATCCCAGAAGGTTCTAGAAAGATTAATGGAAAGTATATTCAATCTCACCTCCTTTCACGTCTCAAAGGTACTAACAGCTGTTTCTCTTTTCGTCTACTTTTGTTTTACCAATCTGATGTTAAAAATATCTTCAACTGCCCCCAACCTCCCTTCCCCATAGCTTCTTTCTTCCACACTGAAGGAAAAAATTCAATTCGATGCTGCAGATGCTACTTATGCTGTTTGTTTCATACAGAGTAATATATTTTAAAACACACTGGGTAACACTGAAAGAATTAGCTTAGAAGCTACTTAAGCTTGTTTTAGATAAAAATCTACAACCATAATCGTAGCAAGTATTATCCACCTGTATTCACTTTATTGCATGTTTAACTGTATTTTTTTTTCATATGGTCATGATAATTTATATGAAAAGCTTTAAAGGGGAAACTAAAGGAACAAGTAAAGGATGTGGATGCTGCTCAACCCAAGGAGGTTCCTTTATTCTGGATGGGTATGGCTGAGGTCAGTTTGTTGAGAGATTTTATGTTTTCATTAAATTCTATCCACTTTGTCCTTGATCTAAAGTACTGTTTTTCATAATCTCTTAGATTTTTTTTAACAACTATCTAAAACTAGTGTCAACGGGAAAAAAAACTACATTTGGGATATTCGGCTGGCCATACGAGAATGGATAAGATCCAGAACGAGGTTATTCTGGGAAAGGGTTGGAGTGGCACATGTGGAAAATAAGTTGTGAAAATCTAGGTTGAGGTGGTTTGGGCATGTTAGGAGGTAGTGTGGAGGCTCTTGTTAAGAGGTGTGGGAGGCTTGCGGCAGTGAACATGAGAGGGGGTAGAGGTAGACCTATGAAGAAGTGGAACGAGGTAATTAGACATGATCTTCAACTTGAGGATCTCACGAAGGATATGACCTTAGATAGGGACGCCAGGAGATCTAGGACTACAATAGTTGGGTAGACTTTTGGATCTTCGTTTGTTGTTTTTGCTCATGTGCTTTGAGTCTCGTTGCCAGTGTCTATATGTGCCAATACCCTACTTCTGGATATGAGATATTAGAAGGATTTAGTGCTCCGTTATATAGGACGTTGATTTGAGATTATGTTTTTTCCCAAAACAACAGTGAATATTGAGCAGATGGAGTATGAAACCTGACAACATACCAAATGGGGCCTTAGTTGACATTTTTCAAAATCAGTGTTTGATTTGATTTTGGTTTGTTCAGAGTGTGCAAGTGATGGGATCTTTTGATGGATGGAGTCAAGGAGAGGACTTATCCCCCGAGTACGCTGGTGATTACACACATTTCTCCACGACACTAATGCTCAGTCCGGGAAGGTATTCCCGTTTTCTTCAATCACCTCTAATTCCTTACAATAGAATTGGGATTCACATTAACTGTTGGTTAGTTTCTTTTAGTTGATCCCATTATTCGTGTTTTTAAAATATGATGATGAAGGTATGAGATCAAGTTCTTGGTGAATGGAGAGTGGCAGCTATCCCCAGAATACCCCACTGTTGGTGAGGGGTTAAAGAAGAACAACCTACTGATTGTTGAATAATAGTTCCACCATTGGCCCTACCGAACACAATTCATGCCTTCATGGTGTGATAAGCCTTTCCAACAATTATTGTGTGCTTTAATAAGATGATTTAACCCTGTTTAAAGGATTTTATAAGCATGATGATCTCAGACATGACTCTATAAGCAATTGCACTAAGGGTAGTTGAAAAACTATATATATATATATATATATATATATATATATATATATATATAAATATATATATATATATATATATATAGATTTTGGTTCAGGTGAGAATGCAATCTAATGAAAGAAATAAGAATGAATCTGGTGCATTAGATTGGGAGATCTAAGGGTTAGGATTGCATCAAAATTAGGTGCACCAAGATGGTTTGAAAATGCATCATGTCAAAATGCACCATAATCCTTTGAAAATGCACTATCTCAAAATTTGAGTGCAGAATGCAATCTGAGCCGCACAATGCATCAGATCCAAGGGCTAGATTTTATTCTTATTTCTTTCACCAAGGTGCATTCTCACTTGAACCAGCCCCTATATATATATATATATATATATATATGATTGACTCTAGTGAGATGACATCTTACGGTGAGATGATATGCTTCGGTCAGATGACGCAAAACTCACTACGTTACACTGCAAAGCTCACCAAAGGCCAATGTAAAGCTCACCTGGAAATAAAGCAAAGCTCACAACTTTTAATTAAAAATAAAATTGCAACACCAGTCAACCATCGATCAGCAGCGGCGGCGCGGCGGAGACCGGCGGAGATGGTCGGCGGCAGGCGGTGGCCGGTGATGGTCAACGGTCAGTGGTCAAAGTGTATTCAGCACCCCTTTGATTTTTTTTCAAAAAAAATTCAAAGTGTTGAAAAAATATGGTGAGCTTTGCCTAACAGTTTGGTAAGCTTTGTAATTGTCTTTGGTGAGCTTTGCAGTGTCCAGTGGTGAGCTTTGCGTCATCTGACCGAAGCATATCATTTACCGTAAAATGTCATCCTACTGGAGTCAATCTTATATATATATATATATATATATATATATATATATATATATATATATATATATGGATTGACTCCAGCCAGATGACACTTTATGGTAACATGACATGCTACGGTCACATGACACAAAGCTCACCTGTGATTACTGCAAAGCTCACCAAGGACATCAGCGAAGCTCACCAAAATGTATGGAAAACCTCACCAAGATTTTTTACACTTTGAATTTTTTAAATTTTAAAATTTAAATACTTACAAATCTTAACCAAAAAGCTCACCATTCTTTGATGCAAAACTCACCGAAACATATAACAAAGCTCCCCAAATTTTGAGGTTGAAAAATTGAAAAAAAATCAAAGGGTGACTTCCACCACCATTGACCGGTGATCGGCGTTAAATTCAGTGGTCGACATGGGTCAAAGTCAGCACCTCTAAGATTTTTTTTCAAAAAAAAAAAATTTAAGTGTGAAAAAAAATTAGTGAGCTTTGCCATACATTCTGGTGAGCTTTGCAGTTGGTCTAGGTGAGCTTTATAGTTGGCATTGGTGAGCTTTGCGTCATCTGACCGTAGCCTGTCATCTTACCATAAAGTGTCATCTGATTGGAGTTGATCCTATATGTGTGCGCGCGCGCGAGGGGAATGTTGAGAGTTTCACATAAGAGTTTGTCTCATATCATGAATGACCAAAAGCAAATTTTGCTCAAGTTTTATTAGTATGAAGCATTTTGACAAGTGTCTAGAACAAATCTGTTAGGCCTTGATTCGAATCACACAATATTATACTAATACAAAGTTCAGGTGGAAGTATGCAGTCATACATTCTTGATGATACTATCATATCTTCTATCAACATTGTCTCTTGAAAATGAAAAATAAAAGTTTAGTGCTTGAAAAATGAATTAAAGTTTCTATCATAATAGTGTTAAGATTATGTTATTTTGTGTTTGTTTTTTTGCTGCTTGTCTTTTTGAAACAATCTTTCTACGATTTTCTTGATAAAAATAGTGTTATGACATAAAAACATGTGTAGTCATGGAGCCCTGGGACGGGCGTTATCTGCCATGTGGCAGCCACTTCATCACTTCATCAGTGACTCCATTACTTTAAAATGCAATACATAAAGCCTCCCTCATTATTACACAATTTTTTTTGACATTTTTCTAAATTTATTGAAAGATAGAGATCAAATGTGATTGGGTGAGGGAGAAGAGGGGTGGCATTATGTACATTGCGCCATATACATTTCTTTTGCTCATGAAGCCCAAGGGACAGTGTAAGGGGCTCCATGGTAGGGCATAAAGCCCACTACACATGGTCTAAGAATCATGTGCAATATTAAACATACAATTGAGATAGTGTTACGACGGAAGAAATATGTCATTCTGAGGATGTAAAGTCACCAGATTTTTGTCACTATTGTACTAGATCATTAATACACTATTCATTTTTATTGCACTATTAGAGCATGTACAATAATAAGACAAAAATGGAATGACACACAGTAATGTGGAAAACTTTAACCAATCAAGAATAGTCTAGCTAGTGTGAGACAAATGAGTGCAATGATATGCCATACAATGACAAATCATTATTTTTTACATTTTTAATACTTTTTGATATATTTTAATTATCCTTTTTGCAAAAATAGATGTACATACTCCTTTTTTAAAAAGTTTTTATTTTGTACAAAAAAAATACAAAACAATAAAAAAAGATATGAAAAAGGCAAGGTGAAAACTATTATCACGCCACGCTTTTGTAGGAGTGCAATGAGTTGGTAGGGCGAGACAATCACATTCCTCGTGGCTACTAATGCTTTAAGTCCTAACATTGTCACTATGACTGTAGTGACAATGTCTTTATGCCAACGTTATATAATGTTTTTGAAATTTTTATTACTAAATATAACTTTGAAACTTTGTACTCCGTATTACATTATCTGTATTTAAAAGTGAAGTGCTAAATTAAAATATCTCAGAAAAGAAGTATTTTAAATATTAAAGTATGTAACCCTGGACTCATTTTTACTCTTTTGGTATTTCCAACCTCATTTTAATAGAAGTGAACTAATAACTCTGTATGCCCTTCCACAATTTTGTTTAGTTTTTCAACCTGAAAGGATTATAAAATATTTAATTTTCATCATTAATTTTATTTTGAAAATACTTAATCTCAAGGAGGACCTATATTTAAAATGCCATGCCTATTAATGGTTAATACAACCTTCCTCAATTTTTATGATTTTGATTTTCGAAAGAATGAGTCCAAGGAGACTATATCCTTGTAAACCATCCATACTTAAACCCATCTTCCTCCTCATTTCCATGGCTGCCTGTTTTTCCACTTCTCGCTCCCTCCCATTCGTCTTTTACCAGCGCCTCTGCTTCAACCCTTCCTTCGTATCACGTTCCCTTTCTCACCCCAATCTTCGCCTGAAATCCCGCCCTTGTCCCCTCTGGTCTTCGTCTTTCTCCCTCTGTATTCACGCCCTCCGCATCTCAGCTCCCCTCCCCCCGCTTTCTCCCCGCAAGCCGGAAACTCGTTCCCGATCGTTCTCGATGGCGTCGGCGCCGGCGACCGATGACAATCCTTTGTTGAAGGATTTCTATTTCCCCCCGTTCGATTTGATCGCCGCATCTCACGTCCGCCCCGGGATTCGCGCTTTGCTGAAGCGACTGGTATGTTCTCTTTCGATGCGTACGCATGCGTGTGTTGTGTCAGCTCGGTATGGCGATGGTTGATGAGTTTGTTCTGTGTGAGTTTGGAATGTAGGAAGGTGAATTGGAGGAATTGGAGAGGACTGTGGAGCCGACGTGGTCTAAGCTGGTGGAGCCATTGGAGAAGATCGTAGATAGATTGACTATGGTTTGGGGTGCCGTTAATCACCTTAAGTCCGTGAAAGATAATCCTGAAATCCGCTCCGCCATTGAAGAAGTTCAGGTCAGTATTAATTTCCTTGATTTCCTCTGGTAGGGTATGATGTGATAACTTATGAGGTTGAAGATGCAGTCTTGGGTCATTGAAGTCCTATTTCATGCTTGTATATGACTTTACCTTAGCAAATTACTAAGATGTGTTTCAGTCTTCTTACAATTCATGAAACTTTTGGTAAGTTGAGTTTGACATTTTGAGCACGTCTTCAGAGTTTTGATCAGTTTGGGTTAAAGAGTATTTTCTGCTGGTTATTTTGTTGACTTTGTTCTGCCCCACTAGCTACAATGGGTATCATTTGGTTTTTTCCTACAGCCAGAACAAGTCTCTTTTGCACTAAGGTTGGGCCAGAGCAAACCAATGTATAATGCATTTAAAGCTATCAGAGAGTCTCCGGATTGGCATGGTCTTAGTGATGCTCACAAGAGAATTGTCGAGGGTATGAATGCCAAAACTCATGGATTTATTTTGTTGATGAGTACATTTCTTATATCAATGTGCAATCACTGATTCCATGGATTATTCCAAATTCGTTTTTCTAATCCCAGCTCAAATAAGGGAGGCTGTCCTGAGTGGTATTGCCCTTGAAGATGATAAAAGAGTGAGATTCAATGAAATTGAGCAGGTACTGCATAGCTACCTACTTGATAGGCTCAGCTTTATTTTTTTGTTTTTATTAATAGGCTGGGTTTTTGAATTACTCTGTACTCAAACATCTAGTTTTCTCTCAATCCAAGTTTGTATGACTAACTTTTTTACGTTTCTTTGCAGGAATTGACAAAATTGTCACGGAAGTTTGGGGAGAATGTCTTAGATGCCACAAAGAAGTTTGAAAAATTAGTAACTGACAAGAAAGAAATTGAGGGGTTGCCAGCTACAGCTCTTGGTTTGGCTGCCCAGACAGCAGTGTCTAAAGTAATATCCCTTCTAGCATTTCCATTGTTCTTGTTTATGGTACATGCTATATGATTTTTCATTGCTTGATTGTTTCCTTAACATCTTTGCAACTGCTTATAGGGACATGAAAATGCTACTGCAGAAAGTGGGCCATGGATTATTACATTAGATGCACCAAGTTATATGGCTGTAATGCAACATGCAAAAAACCGTGTGCTACGGGAAGAGCTGTACCGTGCCTACCTAACTCGTGCTTCAAGTGGAGATCTTGATAACACAAAAATTATTGACCAAATTTTAAAGCTTAGGTTGGAGAAAGCTAAGCTTCTAGGGTACAAGAGCTATGCAGAGGTATGATCTTTCCTCATTTTTATATGTACTTCTCCTTCACGTGGCTCGCTTAGTGACTATTCTTATACTTTGGTATAATAGTTAAGCATGGCTAGCAAAATGGCTACTGTTGATAAAGCAGAAGAACTACTTGAAAAACTTCGTAGTGCTTCCTGGGATCATGCAGTTCAAGGTAGCTCCACGTAGTAATTTTTTCTTCAATTGTATTATCGTTAACATTATACTCTATCTTTCCTTATACTCCCTCCGTCCTTAAAGACCCTTCCTGTATTGATTTTTAAGGGATTTAAGGGGAGTGTATTTTGTTGTTAACTGTCCAAAAATGCCCTTGGACGTGATGGGTAAAAGTAGAATGTGATGGGTAGATTTATAGTAGATAGATATGATGTGATAGGTAGGGTAAGAATTAGTAGGGGTAGAAGTGACTTTTTAATTGAAAGTGGAAAGATTTTTTGGGACTGATGAAAAGTGAAAGAGGAAAGATTTTTAGGGACGGATGGTGTAATATTTCTTTTGGTCTAGATTAACATGTATGTTTGTTGTAAATCTGTAAATAATATTTCAAATATATTCTACAATACTTTCTCCGTCCCAAATTAAACTTCTTATTTGCTTTTTCATTGAGTTTAAGAAAAATTGAAATTGTGTGGTTGAGATTTATGCATAGGAGAGAAATAAAGTGAGATTTATGCTTATTTAAAAGGAATGTGAAGTTTATTTGTGACGACCCAAAATGGAAAGTGGGAAATTTATGATGGGACGGAAATAGTTTCTTATAGATGTCAAGCCAGATTCAGTTGAAGCACAAAAATTGTTTTTTCATTGGGATATCCTTGTAGATTGATACAATAACAACTAGGTCCTAATTTCAAATCAATAGGATTGACCACAACAACAACCCTATAGAATCCCACAAGTGTAGAATCCCACAAGAGTAGGGTTTGTGGAGGGTGTGTGTACGTGGACCTTACCCCTACTTAAAAGTGGAGATGCTGTTTCCAAGAGACTGGCCACATAACCAAAATATAATCTTCCGAGTCCCGATATCATCCACCAATATCTTTATTTTCCATTCTGTTGTCAAGCGCCATGTGCTAATTAATCCTTGTAGATTAGTGTCATTTTAAAGTTACTTTACATAATATGCTGTCAAGTTTGCCACCTTATTATTTATTGACATATTTAATTTTTTTCTCTGCGGTTAAGTGATATTTGGCTCTTAATTCAGATATGGAAGACCTCAAAGACTTTTGTAAAAGTCAAGGTGCTCCAGAAGCTAAAGATTTGAACCATTGGGATATTGGTTTTTGGAGTGAGAGGCTTCGTGAATCCAAGTATGAATTAAATGAGGTCTGATCTTCTTCTCTATCTATATGATTTAAAACGTGACTTATTCTTTTTAAACAAATACTGACGTTCACATCCACTTCTTTTCTCTTCACATATAACATAACGAAATGGAAAACAAAAAACAAGAGTTGGACATGAGTAAGAAAAGCTAAATTAGTTACATTGAATCCAATGTGGTAGCCTTTCATTCTAATGCAAGGGTAAAGGATGAACTTTGACAAGTCAGAACTCACAAGAGAACATTTTTTTAAAAGTAGGGGAGCTAATTGTTTGCCATTGTGATTCTGAAGTAGTTTTATTGTGCTTTGCTTTAATAAGATTATGTGATACGGCGGGTGATGCCATAAATGCATGCCGTAAGTGCAAAACACAATTCTAAAATATATTAAGTAGGAGATCAGTTGCAACACTAGTGTAACAACACTCCCACTTTTAAGCTCACATGTTATCAAAATATAATTACAAGAAACTGAAAGTGTTTGGAAAGTATGGCAAAAGAAACTAATAAATGCATGTATTCCTTGGTCATTTTCAAAGAGAGTGCTAAAATTAAAAACATCACTCTATTAGGGGAGTCAAGCATGGAAATTTCTTGTTAAATAAATTCCAATTATTATTGTAAATGAACACAGAATATGTAATGTACTAATTTGAAAAAGTGAAATTGACCAATACACTAGATCTGAATTATTTGAGGAGGTGAATAATTAATTCTCCTAGTCAAGAGCCTTTTAAAATTCCATAACCATATCCTATTTCTAGGCTTTGTGTTGTGTGGTTGTGTTGTTGGCTAAATTAATTATCAACTCATAGACAAGAAAAGTATTAGTTTCCCTAATATTCAAAGGTGAGTTCATCATGCTCACAATTCAGTCCACTCAAAGGTGGCATGACCATATTATATTACGAAATGAGTAGTGAATTTAATCAAACAACGTAAATAAAGTTTGACCGTGTGAATAGTGTACGGGAAGAACCAACTTGGATGGAGGGAGTAAGAGAAAAGAGTCAAAAGACCCAAGATTTCCCCCAAATCTCAAGAACACGCCATGAACCACCATAATCCCCAAATCCAAACCCTTGGTGAGAAATTAGCCTAGTGTGTTTGTGGAGTCAACAATAACAATGAGCAACAGACAAATGATATTTACGTAGAATTTAACAAGAAATCCTGAATTTAAGAAGTAAGCTTAAATGTTGAACAATAATGTCAAACACGCTCTAAATCTCAAGAAAAATGAAGAACATGGGTAAAATAAAGTTCTAGAATAGTAGAATCTAAAATATAAATACCTTAAATCTTGAATAAGTTCTAGAACTTTATTTAGATTCCAGGGGGAGTGGAAATCTCTGTTAGGAAGTTTGGTTCGTGCGCTGCTGTTCGACCATTGTAAGAAATAAGAAATTTGAACCAGTCTGTGCAGTTTTAGGGTTAGGCATCACTTTTATAGAAGGAGAGGATTCAAGAGGATGCTGGCAGAAGACGACCGTTCTTCATGTTTTTTTTTAATTCTGCAAAGATGGTCAGAATATGCCTGGAAGACGACCGTCTTGCAATCACCATTTTCTGCACTACCCATTTTTGTGAGTTTATACTTTCACTCAAAATGGAGGACAATCATTTGCAAGATGGAGGATGACCGTTCTCTATCCACTGTCTTCTATACTAAAGCTTTCTCCGGATTTTCTAAATTGTGCTCTATGATGGGCAGCGTTCACCATGGAAGACGGCCGTTTTCCTGATACTTCTTAGCTCCTTCAGTACTTAATAAAACATCGGGTGTTCTCTTAATGGTTCAGCTAGTACATTGGATGGTCATCTAATGTACCGAAGATGGCTGTTTTTGGGACACCATCTTCAGATCTGTCCTCTGTTTGCTCCTTGTTCAGCTTGACGAGTTTTTGTTTCTTCCAAAACGCTCTTAAAAAGCCAAGATCCAAGAATCCTCATTTTAATTTCCCAAGTGACTTTTACTGTAGTGAATGCCCAAGGACCCAAAACTGCCGAAAGGCACTGGTAAAAGCCTAGGTTTACGTCTACCCATGAAAACTAGCGAGAACACTTGAGATAAAAAGCTGAAGGAATGGAACATGTCTATCACTGTCCCACTTGACGTCTTGACCATTACTCCTGATGAAATGTCAGTGCTTGGAGCGGTGGGAGTGGTGCAAGTGCATTTGTGCAACTGCTCCCAATTGGAGAGTATGCAAACTCTTCGTTGAATAATTTAAACCTTTGTGGCTTTCTTTTTGGTGTAAAAAACTCTATGAACTACTTCAACTTGATGTGAACTAGATCCGCTTATGTCTAGTACTAACCAGTAATTGTGGAAGCTTTCTATGTACTAAAATAAGTGTGAGAGTTTGTGGGTTTGCATTAAGCTTTACAAATATATTGTATGCATTTTATGCTCTTTCTTTGATGTGGTGCACTTTTTTCCCTTCAAATTTTACTGTATATGCTGCTTTGAAGTAACTAACCATTAATAAATTTTATAGGAAGAATTGCGCCCATATTTTCCACTACCAAGGGTCATGGATGGTCTTTTTAAGCTTGCAAATAAGCTTTTTGGTATATATGCTGAACCTGCTGATGGTTTAGCTCCGGTAAAAATTTCAGTTGCCTGTCAAACATAAATTTAAGAAGTGTGACTGATATCTTTACTAATAACAATGCTATTAATTAGGTATGGGACAAGGATGTCCGCTTCTACCGTGTGAATGATTCCTCAGGCAGTCCCATAGCATATTTTTACTTCGATCCATACTCACGTCCATCTGAAAAGCGTGATGGTGCATGGATGGATGAAGTCGTTGGTCGAAGCCGTGTATTGTCTGTAGATGGTGCTTCTGTAAGGTTGCCTGCTGCCCATATGGTTTGCAATCAAATGCCACCTGTGGGAGAAAAACCCAGCCTGATGACATTCCGTGAAGTAAGCATGCACTTGATCATTATGCTACACACAAAATAAGAGTGAACATACTGGTAGGGACATATAACAGAATATAACTATATAAGACACCCTCTAAAGGTGAAGTGGCAAGGGACACTAGATGCTGGCATGCTGGGTCTTTCTTACCATGCAGAGGAATGTATTATTATGCATTTCTGTGTTTAGGACTGTATAGAGAACACATGTTAAAAAAGTACAGACGAGCTGGGCTAGACCCATATTAATTTGGGAAACACTTCGAGCTAGGTTTTTGATACATATTCGGTCTAATTTGGAATCTATTCTATGAATTGTTATTCTTTTTTGGATTTTATGTAGGTTGAGACAGTCTTCCATGAGTTCGGCCATGCCCTTCAGCACATGTTGACTAGGGAGAATGAAGGTATGGTTGCTGGTATTCGGGGCATAGAGTGGGATGCTGTAGAATTACCATCACAATTTATGGAAAATTGGTGTTATCACAGGTATTTGGAACCTTTATTGTCTTTATGTCTAACAAGTATGAAAAGCCTTGGTTTATTGCTATTGTTTAATATGCAGCAAAGCTATTTATTTTTTGGAATTATGTGCATTTGTTTTGCCTCTCTCTCTCTCTCTCTCTGTATCTCCTCCCCCTTTCTCGGGAGAGATGGAAGTTTTGGGTTTAAACTTTATATCAACTAAATTCTTACCATTGGTGTTGAAAAAGAAACTGGTACTCTCTTCTTCCCACAAAGGTAGTTCACTATCTTTTTGCACTCAATTAAGAAATAAAGAATGATACTAGTTAGTTAGAACAGTTAATCATATTTGTACATGTCATCATGGCATTGTAAATGTGGATGATTAAGTAGGGTTCAACTCGGAAATGAAAATTGAAATGCCACCTAAATACCTAATAAGAATGCTGGACAATCTTTGTGGGATGGCCAAAAATGGAATAGTGGACTATCTTTGTGGGGGAGTGAGCATGTTTTGTACTTCTATGATTTATGGCAGTTCTTCATTTAAAGGAACCAAAACAGTGTATGTTAATAAGGCCAATGACAGACCTACTTCAGAAGGGTAACACCGTACTACCCTTTATGATGCAAACATTATTAAGAATCATATAAGCTGTGCGCCTGTGCAATAAAAATGTGCTTAGTGGTGTCTAGCGAAGTGTTTTGCTTACATCGAATTACTTCAATTGAATATGGCGTAACCCGTACCTTGCATGGTTGAACCTCACCCACACTTTTCACAACTATGACCACATGAATAGTTAAATCTTAAAAGAGATATTAATGGGAAAGGTGGGGTATATTTTTGCATAACTAATAACACTATATAACCATAATTATTGATATTTTTCAATTTGATAATGAACTTTATCAATTAATAAGAAAGAAAATATATGTTATCATTATTTTAAGCACACGGGATTTTAACTAAAAATGGGTTGACTAATATTTTTCCGATTAAGTATAACCTCCCTATTATTGTTAAATTTATTAATTATGAAAATAAAAATCATCCTATAAATAAGAAATACACAGAAATAATTTTACAACTTCACATATTTAAAACAAACTCCTGTTATATACTCCCTCCGTCCCAAATCTTCCATCCCATATTGACTTGCACGGTTTTTAATGTTAAATAAAAAGCGAGTTGATATTTCTCTTTTGCCCTTTCATGTACTGCCCTTCTCCTTTGTCCCTAACCTTCCCATCCCCCATCACCACAAATATATCCATTCTTTTTCTTCATAATCAAAATCAGAAAAAAATATGTTTGATCCATTCTGACCAAACAAATACAAAATCTTAATTTCCAAAATCATGAAGAGCACACCAAATCTATCCACAGTATGAAGAAAGAACCAGAAGAAGAAGAAACGGGTAGGGGAGAGAAGAAGAAGAAAGAGAGAGGGGAGAGAGAAAAAGAAGAAACGGGGGAAGGGGTAAGAAGAAGAAGAAATGGAGACGAGGAGAAGAAGAAGAAGAAAAGGAAGAGCTAAGAATGAGAAGGGACGGTGGTGGGATGATGAAGAAGAAGAAAAGAGAGCAAGAAGGAGAATAAGAAAGAAAAAAGGGTAGATTGATCTTTTAGGTAAAATCTATTTGCCAAAGAAGGAAACAGGAAGAAAGATATGGGATGGCCCAAAAGGGATAACGGGAAGAAAGATATGAGATGGAGGGAGTAGTATTTAATGTGTGTGAGAGTGCTATAATCTAGTGGAGGTCATATAGGAAACTTGAGGAATGGATGCGGTACTCCCATCCTCTATCCTAGAGTGCGACTCCTGTGAATAACTCTTCCATTGGTAGGTCCTTTGGAGACCCACCCTGATTGCCCCAAATCCGGGGGTCATTTGAAACATGAAGTATATTTTTTGGTAGTGATAATTTGTAGGGTCCCTTTGATCCTACAGGCTGGAGTGGGCTTGATTGGTAGGCTGAGCTAGGGAAAAGTAGATGAACCAAGCACCAGGGTATGTGTGCTTGGTTCATTGGGTAGTACAGAAAGTACAAGTGAATGCTTTCCATTTATTGGGGGCGGTAGCCTGAACACAAACTTACATGTTCAACTGTAAGTTCCAGCCCAACACGGGTGCCAAGAGGCAGTATTTATTATCGTCAAGTAGAACTGCCAAAATGGGTGACCTGTGACCGCCCAAAAAAATGGTTTAGGCTAGATGGTTTTGAATATGGGCTAACAATTTTATAACCTGACTCGTAAACAATACTTTTGTGCTGCTGGGAAACACCGTGACATCAAAATGTAAACTTTTTTGCGGGATGGTAGGAGTAATTAAAATTTTACTGGTTTCTATACTAGACACAACAACAACAACCCAGTTGGATCCCACAAGATTAGGGTTTGGGGAGGTCGGGAGTATGTGTGTATGCAAAACACCTTAGGATCCAAAAACATTAGCTTGAAATTCATTCAAAAGTGTAAAAACATGATTGAAATGAAAAAAGAAACTCAAGGTAATGGGATCATCTTAATCGAACTAGCCATTAGTCTTTTTCTGCAAGGAATGTGTAATGTTATTTTCTCTATTTGCAAAGATGCTGATGATGAGCGTTTATGAGTGGCACAATAATTGTGAGTCACAAAGAATGACCTTTGCTATTGATTTATGAGTATGAGGCTGATTGGTCTTTACTTTGGAGTCTTTTATTCTTTGTGTCATTCTTCTTTGGAGTGAGTAAAAATGATAATGTTCTTTCGTCCTTGAAATTTCTAGGATGTCAATTTGTTTCCAGTATGCGTCATTTACTGATTATGCATGACATTATTTCTTGTCAATCACTTGTGTCTTGTTATGCGATAAGTGATAGATGTATATTATTTATTGTTACCATCAATTGTTCATAGTTTTCATATGGATCTATGCAGGGAGACCTTGATGAGCATTGCTAAGCATTATGAAACTGGTGAGTCTCTTCCCGAAGACATATACAAGAAACTCCTTGCTGCTAGGACTTTCCGTGCTGGATCCTTTAGTCTCCGTCAGGTTTGCGAGTTATCCCCCCCTTCCCCCTCCCAGTCCTCCCTCTTTCTCTCGCTCACTAATTTTGTAGGGAACTGAAGTCAAAAGTCGATTTTCATGCTCTGTGAATTATATACTCCCTCCATTCCATCTTAAGTTTCCATTTACTTTCACAGAGTTAAAAACACACGTGAAATTGTGTGGTTAGAGTATATGGAGAGAAATAGTGCGAAACACAAATTCATTTGTGAAAAGGAATAAGAATTTTACTTTGGGACTTTAAATGAAATGAAAGTGAGAACTTACATATGGAAGAGAACTTTCCATAAAAGGGTGGTGTGAACTTATATATGGGACGGATGGAGGAAAGTGTAAAAGTGTCTGGAAATTAAATGTCTTCACATCATCATGGTTCTCAATGCTCCATATGTAATTAGCAAACAGAAACCAGAAATTCCTGGGTGAGCTTTAAATGACTGTCATCTCCGTGAGCTTTAAATCACTGTCATAGAGACATTTTATTATTTTTATTTTGCAGTTGAGATTTGCAACACTGGATCTGGAGTTGCATTCGAGATACACACCAGGTGGTTCAGAAACAATCTTTGATGTTGACCAACGGGTTTCTAAGAAGACTCAAGTGCTCCCCCCACTTCCTGATGATAAGTTCCTTTGTGGTTTCAGCCACATATTCAATGGTGGATATGCTGCTGGATACTACAGCTACAAGGTTCATTTGCTTACCGTTTTTTTGAGTGTTTCTTTTGTTTGCCATCTTACTTTTCCTTTATCGACTCATTCCACATCTTTTTTTTGTTTAGGTACAAGGGGAAAATCCTCCCCTCCCCCTGATCTTAAAGTTTTCTTCCGAGTTTGACTTGGCACACTTATTAACAAAGTGAAATTGTGTGGTTGTGATTTACTTAAAATGATAGAAAGAATGTCAGAAACAGATCTTTCCTTGACAAGAAATAAGAAGAAAATTTTAGGATGGAGGGAGTATCATTCTTGACATTGTTTTTTGTTACCACTTACCAGTTCTTTCTTTAAGCCCATAGTCTCTTTGTTATTAAATCTGTTTTATTATTTATTTTATTTGATGGACTCTTTGCACACATAAGTGTCCGGCTGTTTTGTTGTATATTTCTTTTATCAAATTATTACTCTTATTAGGTAACAAGTGTGCCAATACTCTTAAAAATTTGAGAATTCACATAAATTGTAAAATAGTCACTGATATTCAAGAAAAAATGGGGCTGGAACTTAATGTCTCCTACTTAAGGAGAGTAGAGGGATTTAGTTGACTACTTTGCTTGTTTTTGTTTGTCCGAAATAGTTGTCCACTTCCAATATTCATTAAAAAATGATGAATAATTGCGTAGAGATGGGGTTTAAACATTTAAATGAATGAGTGTCATCTTCATTCGAGGTGGTTTGGACATGTGAGACGACGGAGTGTTGTGTCCCCAATACGGAGATGTGAGAGGCTCATGGTGGTGGTGAGGGTAGGGGTAGAAAGGAAGATTTGGAAAGAGGTAATTAGACACGGCCTAAGACTTTTGACCCTTACCAAGGATATGTCCTTAGATAGAAACTTTTGGAGAGCTAAAATTAGGGCAGTTTGGTAGGCGTCTTGGATTGGGTGGTAGTTTCTCACTTTTGCTTTGTGTTTTCTACTTGCTATGCCTTTCTCTTATTGATACTAGTTGTCTTAGCTTTTTGTGCTTGTGTTTCCTCTGTTGTATGTGTCTTTATGTGTCTTCTGTGAGTTTGCACTATTTGTGTTACTTGAGCCAGGATCTCTTGGAAACAGTCTCTCTAGTTTCGGGTAGGAGTAAGGTCTGCATACAGATACCCTCCCCACCCCAGATCCTCCGCTCGTGGGATTCGATTGGGTTGTTGTAAATCCATTTCTTAAAAATGAGATATTTTAGAAACTAGACAACTAAATCCTGACAGAGGGAGTATTCTTTTTATTGTTTCGTTTATTTATATGACTATCATAGAAGACTGAATAACGAAGTGATAATAATGGTTATGCAGTGGGCAGAAGTTTTGTCTGCTGATGCTTTCTCTGCATTTGAAGATGTCGGCCTAGAAAACGAGACGGTAAAAATCAAACATTTCCTATTTTCTTCCCCCCTGCTTTACAATTAAGGAAGCTCTTTTTGTGTTAGTCTCACTATTTTCATGTTCACCATTGATTGTCAAACAGGCTGTCCAAGAAACAGGAAGAAGATTCCGGGAAACCGTGCTCGCTCGTGGAGGCGGGAAAGATCCACTGGAGGTAGAAATTAACACTATGTTTGGTTCAGAGAATTAGGAAGGAAAGGAAAAGAAAAAACTTGAGGAATTTGTTTTCCCTCTTCTTAGTTCATTTCCCCCGCATTTCCTTCTCATTCCACTTCTCTTTCCTTGTCCTCGTTAACCAAACAAGAAAAACTGGTTTCCCTCTCATTTTCTTTTCTTTCCTCTTTCAAATCCCTTGAACCAAACACAGTGTAGAAGTCTATGCACTCGATTACCACATTCAGAAGTTGCACTCTCTCATGTCGTTTGAACATTTTTTTGCAGGTTTTTATTGAATTCCGTGGACGAGAACCTTCTCCAGAGCCCCTCCTAAGGCACAATGGCCTCTTACCAGCTGCTGCATAAGCTTCACAAACATGCCCTTCATAGGCCCAACCCCGCCGCGTATGGTTAGGTTCTTCAAACTCCTCAGAATCACACTTAAGACTTGTGCCAACTAGTTTAAGTGGATTACTAAACTGGCAGATTTGACTGATCCGTTATTTTTACCTCTTTTCCTTCGTAACTTATATATACACAGAGAGTATAATTTTGCAGTTTCTTGGACTCAGTTATTTCACTCTTTTTACAACACTTATGCTTGGGGATGGAAAGACTGCTCTATCAGTACTACCACTTAGAAACAGTTTCTTCTAAGCCCATATTGGTGCGCTATAGTATTTAGTAGTATTTACACTATTGCTATCTCACATTAATATATAAAATAACAAAAAGATAAAACTAAAATAAAATATTACTTAAATTACCTTTAAAAGATTAATAGGAAAAGAAGGAAAATAGGATGAACGCAGTTTTGACATTGTGACATGTTAGTGACTTGGAAACGGACTTGGGGTACTTTTTTGTTACAAAATTTGTACTCCCTCCGTCCCCCTGTATTTGTCTACATTTGACTTTTGGAACTGTTCATCTAAGCACTTTGACTCATCAAATTCTCTCAATGTGTAAGCCTAAATATAGTCATGTGTGATCTTGTTTGATTTGTCTTAACATATAGATTATTAATATATAATTTCCATAATTTTTTAATATACAAATTACAAGATAAAATGGATTAAAGAAATGCATTGGATGGTGTGTAAAAATGAAAGTGGACAAATACAGGGGGACGGAGGGAGTAGTTGGGTACCCTTTTTTCTTATATATTTTCATCATTTAATAAAATAATATAGTCCTGTGATCACTAGTCTAATTTAACTTCTTTCATTTACCGTTCGGCTAGGTCTGAGGGGATCCTCATGGAGATGGGGATCATTCATCTTTTGTAGATGTTTTGATTTAGTTTTTAAATTTGTAATTTTTATTTTTCAATTATACATCATTTTTCATATAAATGATTTGAAAGTAATTTTAGTCAAACATCGTAAATCAAAGCATGCGATTTGAATTGGGACGGAGGAAGCACAAATAAAGGTAGGGGTGAGCACATTTCGGTAAACCGACCGAACCGTACCGAAACCGAAGACTTTGGTACGTACCGAAATCGAACCAAATAATTTGATTCGGTATTCGGTTATAAGTTTTTAAGAAATTCGGTTTTCGGTTCGGTAATAATTTTTGTGTCGGTATTTCGGTAAAAACCGAATACCGAAATAATTAAAAAAAATTTATAGTTCTACCCAACTCATTACAAATATCCAGCCCAGTTTTAAAAAAATGAATATGCAGCCCACTTCTAAATTAAACCTAGGTTTCCTTTTTCTATGTTTTTTCGATCAATTGGATGGAAGGCCGGCAGTAAGGACTTCTTCGACTCTTCGCAAAAGTCAGCCGGCAGGGAGATCTTCGGCTCTTCGGCGCTGGCTTCTTCATCCGATCGATTGCGCGGCCATCTTCATCCCCTCCGTCTGGCGACTCAGTTCCCTATTTGGTTTGTTGCATCTGCTTACCCTAATGGCCTGATTTGCTTTTATTTATGTTTTTTTTCCCAGTTTTTTTGTATATTCGTTCACATTTCATGTACGAAATTAGGATGTTCACAGTTCATTTCCCCGTTTGTTCACTCGTCTATGTGCTCAAAGTCCCTTTTTTCGGTTTTTGGTAAAACCATTTACCAAACCGAAATACCGAAATATTTCGGTTTGGACCGAACCGATTAAGTTAATTTCGGTTCGGTATTCGGTACAGAAAATTTTTCCATCATCTCCGATGGAGTCAAAATTTCACCAGTTTTGACTTTGGGGTGTGATGGAATAAATCAAAATGGATCTCTAAACTATCTGCGCTTCTTTAATTAATGAAGTAGCAGTTAGTCAAACACTGCAACTTTCGATGTTGAGCCGGGGGTCTCTTTGGAAACAGCCTCTCTACTTTCGAGTAGGGTCAAGGTCTGCGTACACACATCCTCCTCAGACCCTACTCTTGTGGGATTTAACTGGGTTGTTTTTTTTATTCGGTACAGAAAATAAATAACTGAATTTTCGGCTCCGTTCCCAATGAACACCCCTAAATAAAGTTGGAGATTTTTATTTTTTGTTGAAACACCAAAAAGTTAAGGATATTTTTGTTAAAACACTAACAGTTGGGGTATCTTCGATGCAAAAAAGCCGGACCCTTAACATACATCCAAAGACGTTGAACAATATTGGATTAAGCTTCGTGGCTTCCATACCACAAAATGACATGAAACAATGGCACAAAGCAAATTCACCCCCACCTACCTTTGTGGGTAGGATGTCACAAGGCAAACCTTTATCATGTAATTTTGTATCAAAGTTATAAAATGATGGGTTATAATTACGGAGTAATTGTTTAATTTATTTTAAATTTTAGAAAAAAACATATTCTAGGATACTTGTTACATACATTTATTCCTATTAATTTGCATATGTATCATTTGTTTCAAAGACAAGGGAGAAATAATTTTTTCAGGGAAATAAACATATATGGTCCGTGCGTAGGCAGTTTTTAGAGGGAAGATAATGAACGTAAGTGTAGTAAAGTGTGTAACACAGTCCGTTATTAAAATTAATGAACTTTTTCCTCAAAATGGAATGGCATAATAGAGATCCTTTTATGCCTGGAAGCTAACAATCTGCCAAGGACGGAATTAGGTTCATGCATGTCAATCATGTTGTTCATATATGTGTCTGTTCTAGTGATAACGCGATCTTATATATGAAAAAAATAAAAATGAATCTCGTGCTTTAGATTTTGAGATTTAAGGGTCAGGATTGCACCAAAATTCGAAATGCACCAAAATCTTTTGAAAATGTACTATTTCAAAATTTGAGCGCAAGATGTAATCTGAATCGCACGATCCATCAGTGTACTGCCAGGGTAGGGAGGGGGCGGGAGGGGGGGCTGGGGTGGGGGTTTAGGGGGAGGGTAGAAACCGTCGTTTTTACAAACGGAGCACCGTAAGTATCCAAACGAACTGGTGTAAGTAACTGGTTTGACCCGACGGGTAGGAGTAGCCTAATGGGTATATCATATTTTAAATGAATATACTCCCTCCGTCCTGCTATATTCGTCCACTTTTGACTTTTGGAACTGTTTATCTAAGCACTTTGACTCATCAAATTTTCTCAATGTGTAAGCCTAAATATAGTCATGCGTGATCTTGTTTGATTTGTCTTAACATATAGATTATTAATATATAATTTCTCTAATTTTTTAATATACAAATTACAAGATAAAATGGATTAAAGAAGTGCATTGGATGGTGTGCAAAAATGAAAGTGGACAAATATAGTGGGACGGAGGGAGTATAAAACTAAATAACTAATAAAAATAATTAAGTGCATAACCCGTCGGGTCAAACCAAATGAATATATATAATTTGATTATATATATAATAATAATGAATAATTTAGTTTTAAGTATTAATTTGTATATGTATGTCATATCTTTGTTATATTCTCAATTACATACTCTCTATGACATATTTAGAAAATACTTTGTAGTATTAATCGCACGTTATTTGTAAATGAATGAGAAAAACCTAGTTTCCATTATAAAAAAAGGAGTACAAATTAAAGCATTATAAAGTATATAGAGAGGCTTGTTAGAATGCATCCCACATCGGAAGTTCCAGAGTAAAATAATCCGGTATATAAGCTCTTGAGTTAAACTAACTAACAAATTGGATTCAATCTTTTAATGTGGTTCAGTCCAAGTGTTTTATTGCTCAATCGAGTTGTCCATACCCATCCCAAATTCTATCAGGGCCCGTTCCCGTTTGGGAATAGTATTTTCGGTTAGCGTTAGCGTTTTAGATAAAATTTTAACGGTGCAAATTAACTTTAAAAATGCTAACATTAAACTTCGCCTGAAGATAACTTTTTCAAAATGCTCACGTTAACCTTTGACGTTTTTCCCAAACAGGTCCAGAGTAATTCCGACTATTACATACTCCCTCCGTCCCAAAAATTTGTTACGTTTAGAAAAAACTGTGTCCCGTAAAGTCCGTTATATTTCTATTAAAAAACCACTTTTATCCCTTACTTTTTTATATCCTACCTATCACATCATACCTTTTTTCTAATAATCTATCCATCACATCATACTTTTATCCATCACATCAATGGTATTTTTGGAAAGTCAATACCAAAATATCCCTCCCTTTTTGGTACGGATGGAGTATTACATATTTTTCCAAAAAGTCAAACCGTCTCATTCTTTTTGGAACGGAGGGAGTATTACATATTTTCAAAATTTTATTCATTATAAATTTAACCAATGGGTAAAACTCTGGTTTTCTAGCAAAAATGTTACTCAATAACATATTTAGGTAAATTTTCACTCTTACCCATGACATATTTAGAAAATTTTATTCTTTACTATATGAATCAAATAGAAGAACTCGGTACGCAACAAAATCTATATTTAGGGGCTTTTTTTGTTGGTATATCTACAAGTAGTAATACAAAACTTGTAAGAAAAAATTTAGGATATTAATTAATAATTGCCTTAATGCTCCGCAATTCCCAATTATAGAACTCTACACTTACCATATAATCATATATTCTTCCACGGTGAGTAATATATATAAATAGAACCCAAACCCATTCTTAATTAATTATATATATACATATACCAGTCTGGAATTTATTAAGTGCCTTGTTAATTAAAAACTTCAATAAATCCGCCATGGCCAAGTTTTCTTATTGCAATATCATCCTCGTCCTCGTCATCCTCGCTCATCTCACAGGTATAATCATTCTTAAAATATTTCTCAAGAATATGAAATTGTTTAGTGATTCGTTTGATGACTCGTCGTGTTTTTAAATACTCCGTAGTTATATTCAAAGCGTTGTTCTATTTTAAATTGTCTGTTTTCCTTTTTTTTCCTGTTCCAAAATAAGTTGTCTGTTTCTTGTTATCGTAAATTTTTAAGAATAAAATACCTAAACTACTACTAAAATAAGTCACTTTTCTCCACCTTATCTTCTCACCTCCTAAAAAGTAATAACAATTTTGGAAAGTCAACTCTATTTTTCTCTTTCTTAAATACTCCCTCCGTCCCCATGTATTTGTCCACATTTGACTTTTGGAACTGTTCATCTAAGCACTTTGACGCATCAAATTCTCTCAATGTGTAAGTCTAAATATAGTCATGTGTGATTTTGTTTGATTTGTCTTAACATATAGATTATTAATATATAATTTCCATAATTTTTTAATATACAAATTACAAGATAAAATGGATTAAAGAAATGCA